ATGGTGGAGAAACTGTTTCCCAAATAATTTGGTGTAGCCAGCTGTTAGCGAATCGGATCCACCAGAAAACATCGTATTTAATACTATTTATGAGGGAAGTTTGTGGGAGATGGAACAATTTCATTAACGGCAACTTATCGCGGTTAATTCTCAAAACTGCTAAAGGGTGTCTGTGAGACATTCCTCCAAGAAATAATTAAAGGATGCGACTCTGCTTCTGAATCAACACTCTGTTTTCAGTGGTTGATCATACCTTAAACTCTAGGAGGAGTCTATTACATAAATCGTTCACATCTTACGCCTCCAATAAAAGTTTACGCTCGGAAGAATTGAGTAGCATTGAACCTCTCAGTCCATTCCAGATTCATCACTGAGAGAAACTGTGCGTCGGTTTCGGACCGAACTGCTGAGATGAACAGCGCTAGAGCCGAAGTTCCAGATCACTTGGGCTTTTCAGTAGTGGCAGGTTCTGAGCAGAACAGAACAACAGAAAGGCGAAATAGAATAGAATAGAACATTTTGTCAAAACTGTGGAATAAATACATCACTAGCCCTACAATTCTCTTGACTATTTTGGGTGAGTTGCGGTCTAAAGGACGATCAGTGAGACTACTTGCAATAATTAAACTGAGATAAAGCAAAAATTCCTGTCATTTTTTCCAAAATTTTTTGAGGTTGTAAAATAATTATGCTGACTGTTACATAGCCATGTGAGTATTGTGATGCTGAGGGTGATTTTATTGAATGAACGTCACATAGAACGTCTCAATTCATTGTTACTAAAACGGTCTTCAATAAACATTAGATACAAGAATTTTCTAAATGTTTATCCCATCGAATTTCGATCTCAGTTGGCGCACCCTGTATGCATTAAATTTTTTAGAGATCAACAGTTGACTCAACAACATTTACTGCCAGTTTGATTCTTATCAAAAATAATCTCCTTGTCGATTTCCCATAACAAAGTTATAATCAACGATACGGATGTCCCTCGATAGTTATATCAGCAACACGTCATTGCTCGATCACACCAAAGACATGCTCATGATTCTTATGAACGAATAACAATTCTTTGTTCTTTTTTTTTGTTGAAGAAAACCTCATTTCAGAATAGTTATTCATAATGCTGCCTCGATCAGAAGTAACAAAAGCCATAAATCTGTCTGGTTGAAAGCTTGGAAAGAAACATTCTCTGCAAATACTAGTAATGAGGGATATCAACTTCTCGGTAACTCTCAACTTAATTTTCCATACATATTGTTTTGATTTGCATTTTGAAGTAACATTTTCATCGTCTATATTCCAAGCAGATTCTGAAGAAGTGTGCTTCAGATCGAGTTCGTGCACTCTCCTATAGCTATTCGGCACGAGCAAGTTATGACATCGTTCCATCATTTCTCGTGTAAAATCCGTTTGATCGTCGTGTCCCTGCGTGATTGATTCTCACTTATTTCTTGTCTCATTCAATATATATATATCACGCTTCATCTCTCAAGTCTTAATCCCCTCTCAAGTTGCATTCCGTTAAATTCTCGTTTAAGCACTGCTCGCCACTGCTTATAATTAACAGGTAGAACTGCAACGAGCAATTGTATGTTCTGCTGCTATTCATTTTCATTGTTTGAGTGTGATCGGAGAAATTCATTTGTTGTGTTTGAATTACCTCGGGTTTGCAACAGCTCGACAAGAAACAATGACAATTATACGATAATATCCTTAAATAAGGTCAGTTTTTGTTGGTGTCAGGATGGACTGTGTGTACGAATTCCCTGAGGCAAGAGAATCATTTCAAGTCTTCCGCGGAACAAAAGGTTGAAAAACGCCAAGATGGATTGCGACAACCACATTTCCCTGAGTGGATTGTGTTATCGTGAACTGCTCATCCAATGTCGATCAATAAGTCAGAATTCAGTAATCATCACTCCGACCATTCAGATGCGAACAAGCTACTGATCGTCGACTTGAATCGACGCCTTTCAAAGGATACTTGCTTTTCAAAGGATACTTGAAGTTAGATCCAAGACTTATTTCATGCTCTATTGGTCGCCGCCATATTTAAGATTCATTGCATATGCATGATGGTGTCATATTTGGGTGTGAAATTTGTTGAACTGAAATTAATATTGAAGAATGGTTGGCAATGAATACGTTATAATAAGAAATAGATGGCAGAGATAGATAGATAGACAGATGGATATGATGAGAAATGTTCACTGTCTAATATATGTACCGAGGGTATTAAAATAGAACAAACATATGAAGTGGGATAATAAAACAGACATATAAAGAATTGAGATTAGAATAAATAATAAACGTTTCATTGATATGATAGGAGAGAAACGATTAAATTTGAATTGAATCAACTCCATTCGAATGAGTATTTTAGAGTATAAGAGATTTAAAAAAGATGAGAAGCAGTATTTCAAAGTTGGGGAAAGAATGTGAAAATAATGAGGAATGACGATATGTGTGGTATGGTACGATGGTGTGTTATCTCATCTATTCATGTTATAAAATGTTATGCTATGTTCAAGTTTCAGAAGATAGCTGCAGCAGTCCATCGCAATCGTTCCCAAATTGCAACAAATCATTTATCAGAATAGTTGATATTCGATTCGATTCAATTACATTCAATCATCTGTCTATCTGTCTATTCATCTCACTGACTTGCTTTAATGATTCTGCTTTTCACTGAACTCAGATATAATCGATTTTTGTTTATATGATTTATTGTTTTGTGATTGTTATTAGTGATAATTTGTTGCTTGTTTTATGATTACAGCATTCATAAACTAATCAATATCATATCTTCTTATCCGTCTATTATCATCATCACCTCATTCTTTTATTCATTTGCCATTGTGTTGCACTGCGATTCAATTCAACATTCCTTTCATGATCAAATATTCTGTTTCTTAAATGTGTCAGCCTAGCTTTGTCAGCCAACCACAACAGCCGTTAATTTTGTCCACCTATTCAGTCTTATCAAGCCATAATCCACATGAGTTGATTTCAATGCGTAATTAATCGATCAATTAATTCCTGAGTCAATTGAGCGATTGCAGGTGAATGAAAGAAGTATTTACTGTGCTGCGGATAAACGAATTGAATATAAAAATGAAACTAATAGATTTATTTATATATGAGCATTGTCATCGAATCATGATCATAATAACAAATGCTGTTTGTTCTTCCGATAAGAATTCTTTCTCTATTCATATACTTGTCTCTTATTCTTTCATCATCATTACCACACCTTACATATATAAAGAAATGATGAATGCAAACAAATTGTATAATCATCATCCATAGACATACAAAAAATGAGCATATAAACGCATTTATATGAGATACGATGGGTGAATAATCAAAGGAGAAATTTGTGTGTAATTGCTTTGTGTAGGTATGTATAATAAATTTGTGTTGTTGTTTGTCTTTTCTCGCCTCATCATCCATTTCTGTGATAGTTGAAAGGAATGGATTTTTGCTGGTGCGATGAGGTGTTGGTGCTGTTGTTGTTGTTGTTGTAGTGAGAAACAGAAAGACACACCATAGCAGGGGTGCTAGGTAGATGTATTGCGCATAGACAATGCAGAGCATGATTGCGAATTGCACTGAGACTGACGACTGCGGTGGTAATACAATTGTTCACGTTATTAACAGAGTGCTGAGTGGAGTGTCCGTAAGCAGCGGCATGTCAAGGCAGACGGACGTTTTTAACGAGAACATTTATTAAAGTAGCACGAGCATAAGGAAACGAAAAGAAATGATGAAGGGCATGATCGCATCAGCGACAGTAGCAGCAGCAGCAGCAGCATTATTGTATGCTTTAAATAATCGATCAAAAGTCAGAATAGCGATAGAAGTAGTTATTATAGGACTGCGAATGGAATAAGCAACTGCAATAGCGATATAGCAACAAAGTAGCAGGACGACGTCAAATTATATGGAGAGAAGAGGAGTGTATGCAAGTTAACTCAAAACAGCAGTATTAAATGCACATAGCTAGAGCAATTGCAATGCGATCATATTATGTCATTTCATATCTCTAAAATATACTTGATTCAATGACGAGACGAGACAAGACGAGATAAATAGGTATCTGAGATTTGAGAATACAACGGCAAGCTATCAATAATTGAGCGGTGAGTGCATCGAGATGATCGATTGTGGCGTGCTGCATCATATCGCGCGCGTCATCTCAATCTGGTTTATTATATTCAGTTACTTACGTCCTCGTTTCACTCTTCTTGATCTCAATTAGCTTGACACACCACATGATTTTTGGCCAATAAAAAACTTGGCAAAACACACGCACAAGATATGATATGTGATTTGCTTATTGCTATTACTTGACACGTAAATGTGTGTTGATCACTTGAAGCATGCAAATGTGACGTGACCGCTCATTAAGAGCTATCAATTGACCGCTCGAAATAACTGATGTCTGCCTGCCTGTTCATCGATGGGCTGGCATTAATTAATACCGAGCTGGCATACTTCACGGTAATATTCCGTAAATCAACTCAACGACCCCGCCAATCGCCCAGCTGCCAATCGCCGCACCGACCGGTTGTTTCTTGTTCTTATGGACAGCAGGTTGCGCGCACGCGTTCAGTTGCACGCGCCTGGGCATAGCACGTGCGTGTTGTGCTCCTCACCATAAATCTCTATCAGTTATGTGTTCTCTTTTTGATGTTACTGACGCGCGCTGCTTTGTAACGCGGACGCGTTTATTATTTTGTTAATAATAATTATAATTCGATAGGAGTGGTTAAATGAAAAAAAAAATTCGATACTAAACTTTTTGTGGTGTGATTAATTTCGATGAAGGCCGTGTAATCCAAGTGTCCACAAGACGTCGATCATATATCTTTAACGAAACCATATTCCATGCAGGCCCACAGCCGGCTAATAAAATTTGAGAAAGTGAGACTACTTGTAATGTTTCAGTTCTTTTTACTTGTTATCAACTAGGAATCTTATGTAATCTTTTTATTATGCCAGTGAAACTGAGTCCTGCTAAATATGAATATCTTGCAAGTTAGTGTGATCGTTAGGGTTATTAAGGGTTGAAATTCGATACTGATTTTTTTGTAATTTCGTGGTTTTTGTAGTAAAAACTTCGTGGATAACGCTCACGATGAAACAAGTGTAAGACACATTGATTAAATAAATGATACTTTCAGCAATTAATAAAATGCAATTTAAAGTGCACGACTTGAGCGGTGAGTAATGAGTTTTGAAGCGGTCCCGTGTATGTTTCGAAGTACCGCCAACGATGGCAACAGCTCGTCTTATATTGGACTTCTCATTCGACCATCCAGCTCGGGAACTGCTCAACAAGTAAGTAGATACCAGTATCAGTTATTGTTGTTAGAGAAGAAAAATAAGGTGATGACAGTCCTTCACGGTATCGATAATCAGTGTCTTCGTTTAGTCTTTTGTGCCCTTCTTTTTGTGTGGAGCTGCACGTCAACCGTGAAAATTTTCAAACATTCTAAAAAATCTCTGTATGTGGTATCGGTAAAAATATTGTAATGTATATAAAAAGGTACCAAAATCCGTGCCATTTTATTTGTTGCTCATTGCTTTTTTCAAGTATTATTAATTGTTTCTTCATATTTTGATTAGAAAATAAGTCACTTTAGAGGATACGTAACGATTATTGATAGTTTTGTAGTTTAGGTTGTTAAAATCAAAACGGCATTTTGTTCATATAGATTTGATTGAACAGGGAATGTAATCACACACTAACTACTCTGAAAATGCGTGCAAATAAAACGTCATCTTAATTTGAGCAGCCCAAACTGTAGAATTATTGGTTATTTTCGTTGTGAAAAGTGTTTTTGGAACTGGGATTGAAATATTTGAGATGAAATGTTTTGATGTTTGTATTTGATGATAGGTAGTGATGGAGAATAAGAATTGATACTAGTAAAATTGTGGTCAAAACTCTAGACGTCGCTTTGTATTTGAAAATAATTGTATTATATGGATGTTTGCAGCATAAATGATATAAGTTTAACGCTTTTTAGTGATATTTCATCAGTCATCTTTGGGTAACTAACTGTTTGTCGTTAGTATTCAGTCATTTTTAATGTCTGCTCTATCAGCTTTCATCCATTGAAACTTTTAAAAGCAAATAATCTTTAGATATTTATTTGATAAAATTCTCCCCAACTAAACAGCTTCTAGTGAGTGAGGATCTGTGAGCACTAAATTCAAAAAAGTAACGGTTGAATTCAGGGAGCTGGCCAAACGGTAAGTGCGGCAGTGGTTGGCAGCACAAATATGATAAGTGGTTCGAATGCGAAAATACCATCACTTCATGTAGTACCATCGTCTTTAAAAGCACAACCAATAACCTCAGCAACATCAACAACAACCTTGAATCCAACTCCAAATCAAACAGCAGCAACACACAAAGTGGTCGTTCCTGCTGGTGTGCAGTTGAGACTGCAACCTGCGGCTGTATGTGCAACAACACCGCAGTGTAACGATGGATGGATCCATGCTGCTCCGCGACCTGTTGTCAACACCACGTTTGATTCTCCTTCACCGTCGCAGGTCAACAACTTTTCACCTGAATTTGAATTATGAGATACTTTTAAAATCGATTTCAACTTCCATCCTTCCATCATTATCAGTAAATATTACGATTGAGAACGAGGTGAAGTCGGTGGAGCTCTTTTAGTTTCCAACCGCGAAGATAATGGATGAGATCCTGAATTACGATATTAAATCATCGATAATTTTCATTCTCTTCTCCACCGAAGATATTGCTCCCGCCAAAGTCCTGCTAAAAAAAGCGCTGTCCCCTTGATTCTTCTCATTCTTTTGATTAATCGAATATACGAAAACATCTGTTACTTCAAATTAACTGAAACTAGTTGAAACTCTTTGTAACTTTTTGTACAACATTGCGATGAATTGAATGTAGGATGAAAAATCTGATTTATTGTTTGATGTTGGCCTCTGAGGAGCGGCACATCCCAAGATGCGTCGTTCGGTCGCCAAAAAACCCTCTTCCCAAGATCCATCGCTCGTTTCCAGTTCAAGTGATTGTTTGAAACGGAGTCATTCTTAACGAATCATCCAAATTATTTGTTTAATCAAGTTTTAAAATGAGGTTTATCTCAATTCAACTTCATATATGTTTTTTGATAGAGGTAGTGGTTTATTCCATAAGCACTGTCATGTGAACAAATCAATCTTCACTGGTCGAGTTTTTGGTTCAATAAACAACTGAAGTTACGTTTCTTTTCTCAGTTATTAATTTTGACATGTTGATAATTGCAGGTTGTACCTCAGATGAATGTTGGTGACTCGTATGAATGTTCGGTGCCGTGCGCCAGTTCCAGTTCATTTTTTCCTCCCATATCTTCCATAACGCAAAATCTCTCTTCTGCCAAATCTGATATTGATTTACTTCAAGTAAATAAAAATTTTCATATCCATTAACCAATTATTATCTGTCTAGTTTTGATCTTCATCCATTAACTTGACTCATTTATGTAGATCAATCAGTCAAAAACTTCAGGAAATTTCATCGGTAGAAATGAATGTTATGAGAAATCAAAAAGTGAGTAATACAACAGCTAGTGATTATGTGCAGAGCACAACACCTCAGCAGTATCATACTAATGCCATGCAGAACATTTATTCTGCACCAACGCAGGTTGATGATCGTAATTATAATTTGTTTGTTTTTTGTTTGATAACAAGTTTTGAAGAACTATTTTGGGCCGAAGATTGATTTTTATCCTTTTGTATTTGATTGTCAACTGATAGAGATTCATCCATTTGCATGTGCAAGTGGTTGCGTCTACCTGTTTCTTCTGGAACTCCATCAGAATATCTTTTTCGGATTTCAAATAAACCCTTGAAAGAATGACGTATATGGCTCTTAAAAATAGACGATTAACTGATTATGTGCATCCAAGAAGGAATGAAGTATCAGTTGAAGCATTGTATCTAGTCGTCAATGCATAGTATTTGCTACAGATGACGGAAATGCCAACGATTGGTCGTATGCCATCATGTAGATATCAGAGTGGTTATAATGGCGCGAATGACTGTTCTGCAACACCAGATAGTGGTATTCAAAGTATCGCTGGCTCACCACCGTCAAGTGGTCCATTCACGCCGCCGTTACCCTCTCCTGCACCTTGTATAACACTCGTAAGTTCACTTTCTAGTAATTTATTGCTCCTTTGGAGGTTTTTGTTTTACATTTTGTACTTTCGTGTAGTCGGATAAAGAGAGATATCTTTAGGCTGCTGTCGATGTGACCGAGGACACCACGAATAGAGCGTCGACCAGTGCAGATGATTTTTCGGATATGCCTCGATTAATACCGTTCCATCAAGTCGATGAGGATGCTTGTTCGACATCAACTGCGATTATAAGCGACGAACACGCATCATCAGAGATCAACAAACAACTTTCTCACGAGATTGAAGCAACAGCAGCAGCCTGCGAACAACACCTTCAGAAACAGTCAACGGCTGTTGATAGTAACGTGGTAGTGCCAAAAATTGCAATAACACCGGCGATGAATGTAAATGATTTAGTAGAACAAATCATGTCGCAAATGGATGCTGAACAACGCAAACAGTTTGCAAATGTTATCAAATCGAAAGTGTGTGAAAGTGGACATGCAAATGCGACTGATGCTCACAAAGACTGCAGTAAGAACGATTTAAATTTGCGGTCAAACGAAACAGCTTTGAATGAATTGCAAAAGCAGATAAATATCAGTGATATTTCATTGATGTGTGAGAGTAACGTCATCAATAGTGAACATTCTGACAGCAGTAACAATCAGACTGATAAGGACCATCTTCAATTTCCAGCTGAATCATCTGATCATATTAGTGAACAATCTTCTTTAATTCCACGGCAACAAAGTGATAATAATAATAATAATAAGGTTAAATCCAAAAAACAACGTTCTTCACCAAAAAATGTTAATGATAGAACACGGAAACGAAAACGAACCACTCATCATTCACGCAATGATATAATCAAAGATGAGCCTCGGTTGTTGAATGATGGTGATAAACAAGAGGGGTTAGTGGTGTCCTCTGAGAGATCGTTTTTGGATGCTTTTGTAAATGAGAAAAGAAATAATGGTGGACTGCAACAGCAACTGAGAGGTGATGACGGTGTTCGAGAGCAAATTTGTGATGGTAAAGGAGAAAGGAAACTCGAGGAGAATATGAATAAGAAAATGGTAAATGAAGAGGAAAGGAGCGAAGAAGTTGAAGTCAGTAAGAAGGAAAAATTGAGAAGGAAAGAAGGAGAAGATGTGAAGAAGGAGGAAGAAGATGCAGAAAAATTGAAGAGGAATACAAGGAAGGGAAAAGTGGAACGAGAAGAGGAATTGAAAAGAGGTGAAAGAAGTCATGAGAACGAGGAGGTGGAACGAACGAGGGTCAATGAACAAATGAGGAATCGTCTTAAAGAAGAAGATCCAAACGAACGATTAAGAACTTATCGTTGTGGTGTTAAGCGTAAACTCAATGAGCAACTGAAGTCAGTGATTGAAAAGGTCGAGAAGCAATTAAGTAACATCGAACTGTCGCTTGGTCCACACATGCATTGGACTCTGCCTTGGTATAGGCTCAATTGGAAAGATGTGGCGCAGAGGTCAGTTTAATCTCAAGTTATCGCTTTAATCAGCTTCTTTGCTCCCTAATTTCGATTCAGTTATTTTGAATTCATGTCCCTTTCCACCAAAAAAATCAGCAATGATGCCAATTGAAGTGAATGCTTAGTTGACCTAGAGTTTGGAATTTGTTCGATTTTACTGATTTTATTGCAGTGCTATCATCAAATGAAAAGATATCCTGATATCAGTTTAGAAAGAAAAAAGAGTTAATTTTGATTTAATCTGTTCCTGTTCGAAACTTTCTCACCTTTCTAATATTCTTGTTCGAATTAAAAATTTTAATTTTTATTCATATGATCATATCAGTTTAGACTTGTCGAAAGAGATCGTCTGGAAAAATTGGCGAAGGAAAAAAGTGCTGAATCTAAGAAAGTGGTATCAAGGAAAAAAATGAGAAAGGTGACGGTATCTAAAATGGACCCGTCTTGTTCGGGGTATGCCAGCGTTTATTCAGTTTTATTCACGTATGAGCACTCAGTTAATTTTATCCAATGAAACGAAAATGTTTGGAAATGAAACTTGAGTTCAAGTTGAATTATCCATCCTAATATGTGATGGTGATGTCACGGTGAAATTAACAAGTGTAATTGCGTTGATATAAAAATTCTCATCTTTTCAGCCAACAATCACTTGACGAGAAAGGTCATCATCATCCAGGTGCGAGGAGCTACATCAAAATTAAGCATAGTAAGTTGTGAATGTTTTTTGTATTTTCTCATAATGCAGCAGATTGATTGTGAGGTGTTATTGATTTGTTTTCAAAGATGTGATAGTTGACGCATATCCACGTATCGAGCAACTGCAGTGTTCATGTCAGAGAGGAGGTTGTGGTGAATTGGATGAATGTTTAAACAGGTTGGTTCATTTTATTCATTTGAATGATGCTTTTTTTCTGCTCTTTTCAAAAAGTTCAATAACGAATGCAATTGAGTTATTCACTATATCTGTATTCGACCATTTCTATATACATTACAATTTATTACCGCATAATTTTATGACGTGCATTTCTAGTACCGTAAGCAACCACAAATTTTCTTAATGCTTGGGTATAATCCCTAGACTAATCTTAAAAAATGATTATCATTATAATGATGTAGGTAATTGATTTTTATGCAATATCCATCAGTTGGCGGGTAGCAATGCTATCAGTAGTTAATAAGAAAGGGATATAAAGCGGTGGTCATTTATGTTTGATGGCAATTAATCAGTTGCAGAATGGTGCAAATGGAATGCACGAGCAACTGCAATCGTGGTGTGAATTGTTCAAATAAGCGGATTTATAGACGTGAGTGTGTTGATAAATTAAGTGTTTTCGAGACGGCAAACGGCCGAGGTTTAGGCGTCAAAACTGGTGTACCAATTCCAAAGGGACAGGTTTGGAATTTTTTATTGATTCTTCGATATGCCTTATATTGTTTTCGATTATCTTAACTGCTGCCGTGTTATTAATATTAACATTTTTATTTGTTGTTCTTCTCTGTTTTTATTGAGAAGAGAATGCTATTCAATTTTGTATATTATGAATACGTTTCGACGCAGCAAAGAAATGTTCATGTGATCATCAAAGATGAGTTTCTTGCAGTTTGTGTGTGAATATGTGGGTGAGGTGGTTTCAATGGAAACATTTGATGCACGTAATGAGCAGACATATCGTAAGTGTAAGAACCATTACGCACTGAATTTATGTCCTGGTTTCGTTATTGATGCATATCAAAAAGGCAATTTGGCACGCTTTGTGAACCATTCATGCACGCCGAATTGTGAAATGCAACGATGGTTAGTTTTTATATATTCAGTTGTGAGTTAGAGTTTTGCACAAACTTCCGAGAAAGGCCTTTTTTGTCAGTGGTGTGTTTGCGAAGTGCTCCTTGTCGAAAGTATCACAAAAAGAAAAAGCTCACCTCTAGATCTTCCGAGTTGGGGATTTATTGCTGACTGTATTAATGATTTGTGCATCAAGTAGTAATTTTCATAACTGATGTGGTTCTTTTGAATGTGGATTATTGAAGTTTGCTTATGACAGGTCCGTGAATGGTCAACACCGAATTGGATTATTTGCATTACGATCAATTGCAAAAGATGAAGAATTAACATACGACTATAATTGGGATTCATTCGATTTCCAAGGTGTAACACCGTGCTCTTGTGGCGTACCAGATTGTCGTGGCTTTTTAAACAAGAATGTTTTGATGAATGCAAAAGAAAAAGAATTGGCACGTAATTACGGTGTTTTACTTCTTCGTAATGTACGCAAATCAGCAAAACGAAAAATGGATGCAGCACGTGCAGGTTGATAACTTTGACTATTAGTAAAATGCTTATATTCTTTTATACATTAATAGATTTTACATTTTACGCAATGTGTCAATGAGGTTACTGCAAAACAACTAGTCTCGTTTTTCATGACAGCCGCATTTACTAGAAAAGAAAAAATAAACTAAACAGTAGAAGAAATTTGCTTGAACCTTAGAAAATCCGATGTTGAAAACAGTAGTTCGAAGTTCCAGTCAATATCAACAAGAATGACCCGTTGAATGTCCTTTTTTGTTTGAATTTTCGGTTGTTCTATTTATAAGTTATCCAATGTAAATGGTGAAATGGAGAAGAGATAAAACAGTTGCGTAAAAACTTAATGATTTTCAGAATTCAAGGCTTCTAAAGATGTGTCATATCGAAAAACATTACGTAGTTTCACAAGCGATATGTTGTTGGCGTTCAGCGATCGTGAAGCGGTATCGAAAAAGCAACTGAAACAGATGAAGAATAGTATTGAATCGATTGTAAATCAGCCTCCAACCTCAACTACATCGTCTGTTCTTTCGTTTCAGTCCGCTTTGCAAGCGGTTGAGATGCGTTTCATCGAGTCATTTGATGCATATAAAAAACGAGAATCCGACAAGAAGAAAGTTCAAGCATTCAAATGTAAACTTGGTGATATCAGAGAGCGATATCGTGAACAGCTGCGAAAGTTTGGTACCTTACCTGAACATTTTGATGAACATTCAAAACACAACAAGCATTCTAAAAGCACGTCACATCGCATTCTTACTGCAAATACTGATCTTTCGTATCTGGACTGTGAGGTTCGTTTTTTTTTTAAATCTCGAATAAACGTTTGATTGAGATATTTGAGTGAATCAGAGTTGTTTCATCATTTTGAATCATTCTCTTCTTCGCTACTTTCAGTTGAATATTTTATCAATCAATTTGAAATTATCGTTCAAAATTTGTTTAGCGCTCATCGATCGATCAAAGAAAGCTTATGATCGATCGACCGAATAGGTGGTGAATGGTTACTAAAAATATTTTGAATGCGTAGCTATCAATCGATTTAAGGTTGCTGTTGGTTCATATGATCCGGACAGTTTAACGCATTTGGGTGTGGCAGAGACAGATTCCGACTGTGTGCGTTGCATCTGCGGTATTACTGACGATGATGGCTCTATGGTGCAGTGTGATACGTGTCATTTTTGGTTACATGAAGAATGCGTCGTCGTTAAGCCTGCTGCGGTGAGTGTTGTATCATCGTTCGATTCGAGTGGAAGCCGTCTATGGCAACTTGGCTGCAAATTAATCGAATACTTTTCGGTGTCGTATTGTTCTCTTCAAATGTTCCGTTTTTGCCGTCTCATCTCACTTCTCTCTTCTGAGTGATTTGATTTTCCAAATGTTGCTCTGCTGTTGAAGTGACATTTTGAATTAGAATAATTTCGAGTGGTTGTTTCTTGTGTTTATTTGCGTAGGATTAGGATGCATATTTGTAACTAATAGGGCTGGATGGTATGGATGTATTCTAATTATAGGACTTTAAATGTGATATATGTCGTATGAAAGCAACACGTACGCCAGCAGTGGACATCGTCTTGAGGTCACAGCCACAAATCAGATTCAAGAGGTGTACGTATTACCGGTCGCTGGTCAATGTACATAATATTCAAGTTCGTGTCAATGAAACTGTTTATCTACAAAAGCTTGCCAACGATGATGTATGTTATTTTTGTTCGTTTCCTTTTGCAAATTCAATTTCACTGTCGCATTTTCATTGTGTTCAAATGAGCTCATTAGATCTGTCCTTATTTGAATGGTACAATTTCGCGATATTACATCATTTTAAAAAATCTGTGACACTTTCTCAGAAGTAGTTTTTAGATGCCGCCCGATATAGCTTGATGGGTGTTAAACAGGAAGATTATTTGGCATCCTTTTAGATGATTGTCGTTGAGTTGTTTGCTTACCGTCTGATTAGAAGTTGAAATTGAACTATCGTAAATGTGAAAAGTTTGAAAAGCGTGCAGTAATATTCAGTTTTCAGCATAAGATGGAATTGAAACGTTTAAATGAGACTTGTAAAGGTGGTGATGAGGCTGCGGTTGCGGCAGCATCTCAACCACGTACACTGAAGCTATCCGCCTTGCGTTTCCAACCGAAAGCATTCGATCGCAAAGATGTGCGATGCTTTCGTGTTGAGCGTTTATTCGCCTCGCCTGACGGTCATAATTTTGTGTTCGGCTTCTATTACGCCCGTCCACATGAGGTTTATTGTGAACCAGGACGTATGTTCCATGAAAAAGAGGTATCATTTTTTACATTTCCACCCCAATTTTCAAATGGTTAACTCTCCTTATTCAGATTTTCGTATAATGCATTATGAAAAATTGTTCGTAATAGAGTGAAATTATTCAGTTATTCGGTGTTGGGTTCTTTAATCGAGCCAATCAGCAGAATAATTTATGTATGTAGTACGGTAGAGTAATTGAATATAGTTGGTACGATGAGTGGTGATTTAGATGTTTGCGACACCGATGTTCGACACACTTCCACTGGATGCAGTTGTGGGTCGTTGTTTGGTGGTTGAACCTCGCATTTATGTTCTTGGTCGACCAAGAATGCCACGTTATAATGATGCGGTTTGTGATTTGCGCTTCGCTATTATCGATACCATCGAAAAAGCCATCTTTGTATAGAAAATTGTTTAATGCGTGAATTTATAGGACGTATACTTCTGTGAGTATCAAACCGGGAAGAACTCGAGATATTTCGAGAAGATTCCTTCGCGGAATCATTACTACATCAATATTGAGCCGCATAATTTCATCCGATTTGCCGTCCAACCTTCTCTTGTCCGCACATTTACGGTTCGCTTTCTTCAAACATCGTTTCTTGCATCACCCTCTCACTATTATCCGCTAATGACTTTACCAGTTTATGAATAGTTTCTTTGGAAATCAGCACTGAATTGTTTTGCGACGATCAAATATTTCGAGATTAAGGTGATGAATCGTTTGCTGAAATAAATAAATGCCATTGATAACGAATACTCATCATATCAACTTAAGTTGTTATATGTATATACCAAAGTTATTGATATTTTCAATTGGTATTTTAGCCGTTTATAATGGAAAGACACAACAATATGGAGAGTATAAATGATACTAGTTCATCGTCAGCATCGTCGCATCACAAAAGCATTCTCTCTGGCAATTCGTCCAAAAAAATAATGGAGCAGAAGCGAACACGGCTCGAGTCAATCGTCGCTGGTTTACCGTCATCGAACGAGCACTATTACAGTCCTCCACGTAAAATCGCTCGTCATTCAGGTCGTTAGTTCAATCAACTAACCTTTCTGCAGCATCTGTCGTCATTATCATCATCGTATTACCTCGAATACATGCCAATTTTTGATTGTGTCAATTCTAATCTCTTACCAGTCGATAAACGTCTTTTCATAAGTCATTTGTTTTCAGTCCAAATCAGAAGTATGATGTGTGTGCACGATGCATTTGAGTGTGTTTTAGTTCACTTCTACTCAATTAATTCTAATTAGTTTTATGTGGTAGTATCTGAGGTGGTGCTTTCATTTGTGCACCTGCTGCCTCTTTACTGACTAATCGTGATACTCTCTAGCCAGCCTTGTTCCAAGCGCAGCATTTTCTTTGTTTGTTCAGCAAATATTTATTTCTGTAAATTTATTCATATATGATGTGTCGTCGTCTAACTATTCTAAAACTGTTATACTTTTACTTTGTCCATTTACTGACTAAACAAACGGTATTAAGTGGATGAAGTGTCAGTGTTGATTTTTTAACGAGTTCTGTTCACCGATAAAAACAGTTGGTGGTTAGTATTCGCTGGAAAATTGAGTATTACTTAGTGGATATATGATATTGTCTTGATTTGAACAAGTGATAATTGCGTTAAGTGCACATACCCCGTGTTCTCAACATGTGTCGATACGGTTCCCAATCGCAAAATATCTTTATATGCATCTCTCAGTTTTGTTCGTTTTCACTCTCTGTTATTCGGCGTTGTGATTTATTGTTTTATACATTCTTTGTCGCATTTTGTAAGTAATTTTGTTTGTTGTTATGCCATGGATGAGTGATGATTATTTGTAAATAGTTTGCAGTTGTGAGTGAGTATGGCAAGACCGTAACAAGCTCGGTTGTTTTGGTTAAAAATTATTGAGAAGATAAATTGGATGATGGTGTTTTTGAATTGATAATGAATCTTGTCGTGATGCTCACAGTTGCTTTAAATATTTTGCCTTTTGAAATATGGAGCATTAAAAGTTTATTTCTAATCTTTACATGTGTGTTCAAGTACGTTCATTCGAATGACAACAAAACGCAACTGTTACTGGCTTCTGAAAGGCTATAAATTTTCAATGAGTAATACGAATAAAATGGGTAATTTCAGCGTTATGACTGAATGGCACTGAATGGAAAATATCTCGGTTGGAAAACAGAAATATGTGAAATGAAAATATGACAGCGTAAAATAATAATTTCATAGTATAGGGAGGAAAACAAATTGGTAAATACGAAAAAGGTGAATGTGAAATGAGTAACGATTGAACGATCTGAGGTGAACGTTAGAGACGTGAGAAATCATGAAGAATATTTATAAAATACGCAGTCCAAAAACAAGATTGTGCGGATAATAACAATTTCAGATCACACATAAAGTGAACCATCCGCAGGACCAACATAGCCAACAGCGATCAGAATAACATCAAGCAACGTCCATACGCCGAGTCCTCCAAAGCTGAACAATTTGCCGATCGCGCTCTTCCACATGCCCAAATAGAAGCGATCCGCACCGAAACCACCAAGAGTTATCGATAGTAATAATGCTTTCCACCAGCTGTATCCTGATGACCAATTACATCTGTAAGCTTTCAGCAATTAACGCAATTGTGATCAATCTCCTTACATTTAACGAACGTATGAATTTTGATCTGTAGTCAATTTGAAGTGAATTTCGAAGTTACCTAACGTTCTTGAAAAAGACGCGTCGTCCTTTGCAAATGACATTCTGATGGACACGGCATGTTGTCCGAATCAATCGTACGGAGGAAGTGCTGCAGTTACGTACCTTGAACGGAACAAATCAAAAGATGGTATAGCTTTTCTGATGTTTCCAGAAATGACGAAGAAATAAAATTTAGAGGAGATGTAATGAAATAGTTTTACGAATAAAATAATGTGCAAAATCAAACACCTACAGCAACACAATCATATTCAGATGACTTAAGCTGCCAACAATACCGACACTCGGTCTCCTTCTTCAGCGAATATTGTCGGCCACAAGTTCGTTTCGTCGTACAATTAAGACTTACTCTTGTGCCGTACTCACAGTCTGGGAAGACACAATCCAGACACGATCCATACAGCGAACATTTTACTTTGTTACAGCTTGAAAGTAACCAAAATAGACTTTTCAAATTTATTTTACTCTTCCCTTCACGAATTAATTTGCTTCGGTTACCAGGTTTCAGAGGCGAAATGTAATTCAAAAGATAATGCATAAGAATCAATCAAATTCTATGAATTTCCGCTCTCACCATTTTTCAACAATAACCGTGCGCTGAGGCTGTCTTATATAAATTTCAACTATAATGAACGTGCATTTATGACTAAGCTGTGATAAACAGTAAACATACAATGAGATGTCATCGTTGAGTAACTTCTCATGCACTTTCTGAGATGACAATGTGACGACCATCCAAAATGGCAGCACTAAATCTCTCATCGTTTTTCATCATAGCATGCAATCATAAAATCATCCTTAAATCAGTCATTAAAATGCCGAAACGACAGTCACGACACACATGATCGTCTCCGTTATTCAGTAGAATATTATTTGAATCGTAACACGTGAGAGTACGCTTCCCTCCCCCAAAGAATCTAACTGCTTAAAAAACAATACAAAACCGGTGTTGTTCTTGAACAGAATATGCAAGCAAGCGCTCCCGGACGACCAAGCGCAATGAAAATAGATGTAATAAATGTGCGTTCACACAGATATATGATTTTGGAAACATTGTCTGTAATGATGCAACAGACAAAACCCATTCACATATTTGAGGTGCTTTATTCATATGAATTGAACATACGACGATTGTCATTAACTTTAATGACATTTGAAATGTAAATTGTTGAGATACTCATTAAAAGATACATGCCTTCAACAAAACATAACATGGGCTAGTTTCAGTCGTTCACAACTGATATCAAGCAAGAAATGAAATTAAAATCATAACAAGCAACTAAAATTTTGATGATATGTTTGTTTCACGAAGATGCAGTTATTTAATCAATTGTTAGAAATATTATATATCACATTGAGATGAGCGTCAAAATTTGATGTCTCTTCAGATAGGAGTAATTTTTCATGATGATTCACAAATTATGATAGTATAATATATTAGGAATCATGGAAGGTTAAGTGACCAAAGAATTGGCTCCATATAAAAATGAACGAAATATTTAGGAATGATGTTGCGAAGAAAAAAAAGGAGGAGACGATCTCAGTTCAATGATCACAATCGTTTTGATCATTCATGTAGTTAAAAGAAATAACATGATTCACGAATCGATTTCCTATTCAAAGTGTTATGGCTTTAAAACGAACAAAATTGGCGACGCAATCTTGATCGATTGGTGAGTTCTCTTTCACGAATGCACACTCAACTAGCTGCTGCGGGGACCATCTCTTTGATTCATCCACTATTATACTGAAATGATATAATGTTTGTGAAACAACAATAATCTTACCAACAGCATTAGTCAGAACACATATCACAAAAATTGATAGCCATAAAATCAGTGCATCATATATTAACACATTTGAAGAAGATGGAAAACAATGATGTGGTCAAGATAACGCAGATTCCAGTTCTTATTATAACAAAGTGCAATAAATTACCAGTTTAATACAAGTTTACAAAAATTTGCACACAGTTCGGCCTGCTGAAGCAAACATGATACGTCAACATCGCCATTCACGACTCTCTGTACGGCTATTGATAAACCCTCATCTTGATCCGCCAATGGAAATCTACCAACTCCCATCTCACATAATGAAACACCCATACTCCAGATATCTGAACAGATCCTAAAACGAAAGTATCAACGACTATCACATGATCAAGCTCGAAAGCACATTTTTGCTACTGCTTTCTTTCTTTTGGAATTTACTTTTATCTTTACTTGATACACAACACGGAATAGTTCAAAAAGAAGAAAACCAGTGATATTCGAACTGTCCGCAGTGAATAGCCTTCCACTACAGTTAGAAGATAACATACAGCACAAGCAATGAACAACGAATAAACCTGTACGGTCCACCGAAAAGTCGTTCAGGTGCCATATATGCATTAGTGCCAACAAAACTACGCGCTACCGAATGATCGAGTTGCTTCGATACACCGAAATCGGACAGTTTGACGTTGCCTTGCGAATTAACGAGAAAATTACTCGGTTTGATATCTGAATCGATCAAAAGTTTAGTAATGGCAGAAAGAGAATTAATTCAATTGATAAATCAAATACAAACAAATGCAACTGGACATTACTTCGGGTTATTGAAACCTAAATGAAAAAGCAATAAAGTTTTCAAATTGAGTCGTATGCTGTACTCAACTAGATCGAAATAATTCAGTGTCGTTCATCATTCTCATTTCAATTTCTGGTTTGTTTGAGGACATCTGAATGAATATTTTGAAGGATGAGCCCATCATACCTCGATGCATCACTTTAATAGACCACAAAAACGACAAGCCATTAATGATCGAAACAGTGACCGAACCAAGAACATCGCTTGGTAATTTGCCATATCTATCCAGCGAACCGCCGTCCATGAATTCCATGCATAAGCACAGCTCACTGTCGATAAGCATGGCACCGAAGAATTTCACTATGAACGGACTTGAGGAGCACTACATGACAACAACAACAAAATGTTTTGATATTCATATATGGGGGTCGAATATATGCATTCTATAACTTCTCTAAATAAGCTCATATTCAGTTAAAAACAGACGAACTCATACTTCTGATAGATCCAAATTTCAATCAAAATGATATCCTAACTAACAATTTTAACAAGACACTGCTCTGAATATTCATCAAGGTCAAAATTAATTTGAAAATTCACAATCTACGGAATATTAATTGAACAATCTTCCATGACAAAGTAATGAAAAAACCTAACACAGTTCGATGGGATATTTCATCAGACTGAGAAAATGCTGCGATTTTTGAATTTTAAATCAGAAACTTAACGAAATACTCATGCATGAATTCCATTAAAAACTGACGGTTGGTTGAAATGAAGTCGAAGTGAAAAGGAAGGATCAATAGGATCTAAGACAGTTACGTCCTAATATTAATTGGTAGGGCTGGCTCAGTCGTAAGCGAATTTCATTCAGTGGCTATCGATCGAAACCGAAAGATGCTGATCGGTCGGTGGTTAACAAGAATGGTTAAGTCAATAGAATCTGAGACAGATACGTCCTAATATTAACAGGACGTAACTGTCTCACGATCAGTGATCACCGAGACCGAGCATACGTCCAAAAGACCCTTCTCGATGCCACGAAAACTCCGTGGCTTGACTGTCGGTGACCAACGATTGGTAGACACCGGCCGACAAGCATGATTTGTCATTGCATCGATGCTGAATGAGAACTGAATTTCGGTGCCATCGATCAAAACTGAGCAATACCGATGTCCGGTGCTCATTTTCGGCATTCGACCGCTAGCCAACGACGAAATTCGTCGATTACCAATCAACACCGATAAAGACAGAGTAATTTTGCACAATCGAAATTACTCAGTAACTTCTTCCATCACACAGTAAAGTTTCAAGACACTTCAAACTTCTATTTAATGTTGCCCCTCAAAACAACCCGTAATTCTTAGAATAACTACAGAAAAAAGTCGTCGATCTCCTCAATAAAAAGTACCGTTCGGAGAATATTCGTTTCTCGCAGTGCCTCGCACATCATTTCAGCACTACCGTCAATCAGCACGCATTTCACCGCAATTACTCGATCTCGTTCCAGATCCAAACTTCTGCAGAATCATTCTTCTATTACGAACAACAAAAAACCGTGTCAAATTGAATGATGCCACCATTTCTTACTTCTCTCTCATAGGAAACATCACGAAAGGAGCAAATTCAAAAAACTTACCACCGCCATTCCGAATATCTTTATATCGTTTGGCTTACGTGAAAAGCCAAAAAAGGAGGCTACGTTTTGAAATAAGGCAATGTAAAAAGTTCAACTGTTACTTTTCAATTGCCTTTCACATTTATTTACGTGTCAACCGATGTTTATAACTTTCAATGATTTGTATCAGTACCACTTTTCGTCCGTTGTATCTTACTGAACAGTTTAGCGCTATAAACCCTCCACTTTGAAATGTTCATTTCCATCATGGGTGTTAATTTTTTGTGAGAACCAAAGTAAGTGATAAATATGTATCGACGATCATACTTGTAAACCGTCCCTGAACGACCTGATGATATCACGGCGAGACGTTTGATGGAGTCTGGCATCAGAGGCGATGATGATACGTTGGCTTCAAGTAGAGGGCTCACGTCCGCTAATGGATCCTCTGTTTGCAATACACACCAAATTATGATTTTTTTCATACAGAAAATGATTGAAACGAGGGCAAATTGACTCAGGAATTCATTTATCTCACGTGAGAGGAACGGTCATCGATGTGATAATTTAATGTCATTACTGTTCTTGAATCTGAGACAGGCTTGTATCTACTTACTTATATAAACACGCAGTAATGAATTCTGTTCAAAACACGACAGCATCGCAGCCAGTTCATCATCTGTACGTACAACCACACGATCACCTTCATCATCAATATCTGAACTTTTAACGGTGCTATCGTTTGCAGTGAAATCGACCTACCCACTCAGGTTTGCATTACGAACAAATTTATGTCACTTCACCTCTGTTAACAACTATCATTTCCGAGTGCTGCAGAGCAAAAAAAGTGAAATTTTCATTAGCATTTACACTGAGTTCATTCAAAAAATTGCACGGGCGCCACTGAGAGATTCAAATTAGATAATCGAAAAATGTAATGATGCAATTAATAATCAACATACAATAAAAGCAGTCGTTTTGAACTGGAAGTGATATTGCATTCGCAAATGTATCAAAAAATAATGTCGCTATATCGTCAACATCCACCTTGCGTTCATTGCGACAATTATCGTCGTATACTAGCACTTTTAGCACCATTTCACATTCCTTCAATGACATTCTTGTTGTTTTCGGGACGACTTATGCTATTTTTAATTACATTACAATATGACACTCTTAATTAAGGTCAATTATTTCTTAGAATATCTTCTTGATCATTTCAATATCTCTGGAACAGTTGAGAGCGATAAATAAGCAAGAATTTGTCGAGATAATGTTGACGACACATGTTTTGAATGTTGAGTTGATCATTTTAAAAAAAATTATAACCATATAGAAGCATACGAAACGTTGACATTCAATCAGCAACACTGATAACGAACATAAAATTGAACTTTGTCAATTGATATCATTACTTTGTTTCTATGGTAGGACAATTCTTCAATTGCACATTTCCTCTTATTTTTGCATAAAGGTCATTCAAACAACGACTGCTTGAATTGAACTACTCAGAGTTAGAAGTTTCGTTTTGTTTTTCAAAATGATTCTTCATTCTTCGAATATCGCCACTGAAGGTCAACAACGAAAACGATGAAACGACGAATCAGAATCGATTTAAGATAATGTATCCTATTGTGATGATCTTGTACATCAACAACTTTAACCAAAAAATTCAACTCAAATATGGTAAACAACAATTTTATCGCATAATACCCCAATTCAAGTGAAAATAACTAATAAATTAAGCACATCCACCAAGCTACAATGCAAAATGATAGCTTTTAAGCAGTGTAGTCAATCGGTAATAAAGAAATTCATTTGATGAGTTATTAAATATTACTGCAGACTGAACTCGCCCTTGGCTAAAAAAAAACAAACTAGCATGATAAACGCTTTCAGATTGCATTAAAGAACCGAAACGATCCAGGTGGTGCTAAACGGCCAAAGGCCCCGACATTGAAAAACAATTGATGACTAAACGAAACGCAAAAAGAATTAGAACAAAAATCAACAATATCACGATACCGATAACACAAGAGGATAACACCGTCATGTAAGCTATTCGCACATATACCAATATAATTCCTATCGCGAACAAACCATACAATTCCACGAAACATGAAAATAAACAAACAAATTTCGATGAACATCAACTCCTCCTCCCTGTAGTATTGTACAATAATAATGAAATATTCACTATCGCAATATAACTTTTTTCATTGAGACTGTCACTATAAACGCTATTTTATAAGAATATATGTGTCAATTCAGTGTTCAAAAAATTCATATACTCATACTAATGAGAGGACACTTTAAACGAATTGGAATGTTTTAATTACTTCTTACAGTCATCTGTTCAAAACAACATTTCACTTTACACTTTCAATAGATTACATAACAATAAAATAAACCATTTTCGACCATATAATAGGTAGTGCACAGATGAATGAATTTTTACCAATTAATGAAACGAGACGTTAAAGTAATTAATGAAACGGAATAAAATTCCATGATAAAAAATGAAATAAATAACAAATAAATCAACTTATAGACGGATATGCATTTCAAACGAAGACAATTCTTAAATAGTGTCTTGAAAATGGAATATGAATAAACAATATCACCAGTCGACAACAAATTGAAACCGGTTCGTGAAATAAACGTTAAAGTGCAATTGATGTGTATTAAAAAGATGCTTTGCTAGAGGAACGCTAGCGATTACAACATTATGACTAGTTACATAAACGAACAATTATTTTGATAAGAAATGTTTGGAATTGATTTGAACAAGCAGAAAGATTCGAAGAAGGAATCCTGAAGAGGATGAAGGAAAAAATGACCGATACAGAACAGATAATTAATACGGTGAAGAACGTCGAAGTAGATGATAAATGTGAACGATAAATCGAGATACGATATTAGGTTTCAGGCGGAGTATTGTATGAATGAATTGAACTGGCACGATTCAATTGAGAGGAGGCCAAAACGACGATGAATAAATACAAAACAGCATCGATGAAGGAGTGTTCATCAAGAAAGGCGATTGAAATGATCCACTCAGAGACTAATTCAATGAATCAAAACAATAAAAAGTATAATTTAAAGCATTGTTCGAGTGGCGATACACCATCGAAAAAGACAAATATTCGAAGTCCGCTTGTGAGATGACAATTGGATTCTTGTTTACATCAATACGAACAATTTGCATTTTGCTTTGTTCATCCATAATTTGTTAAATTATTAAGAAACAAAATATAATTCTTTTGCGGACTTTTTTTGTTCAGATACAATTAAATGAAACTAAGGAAATAAATTTTTCTTCAGTGTGTTTCCGCTTCATTTTAAAAAAATCACAACGGCATCCGTAAAAAATTATTTTGAAGTGTTTCAAGGCCCAATAAATTTGTCTCTCTTCAATGGGTTGCAACTAACACAACAACAATAAAGTACAACAATCAGATTCAAGGAAAAGAAATTTCAGAAACAGGAGAGGATTATAAAGTATATTTCGTTTTACCGGAAAAAAAGAGAAAACAATTAAAGTTCATCTTTAGTAAGAATAGAATATCGAGTATCAGATGGTTTCAACTTTTTGAAGATACTTGGAGGAGGCTGTGTCAGGTCCGCATCTCCCTGTTGCTTCTGAAACAAATTATTCGTTTATTCAATCAAAATCAAATGATGATGAATGAACAACAAATTAAGATAAAACATGCTTATAAAGTAAAGGTGGAAACGAAATTGAAATCGAAATCTGGAATTTATGAAAGCAAAAGGCACCTCAGTTTCCGAAGCGGCAGTCCCTTCGGTGGGATCCGGTCCGTGATGGAATTCACGATGCAATTTTCCAGAATGCAAATCCAACACGAACTGTCGTAGCTTACCTGGCACACTAAAAGAAAATTTTGCATAAATATAATTGTGCAAATAGAAAATGACTACTTTAAACGAGGTGTAACATTAANTAAGACGTTGACGTGGAAGGATTGTGCGGCATGAATTCGAGAAAAAAAATCGGAAAGAAAACAAAAAACGAGCAGATACATCGTTTAATGGTTGCTTTAACCGATGCAATCAATTCACTACTGCAGAATAAACAATTTACGGTTAAAAAAACAATAAACTGCAATTCATAAGGAGCAATGATGACAGAATACTTGAATAAACTCAATTTGATTCAGTGGAATAAAATGTTTTAAAAAAGAAACGAGACTTGAATACTAACGTTAATTGTTTAATATCTGGGAAAAGATACATATGACGGAATGAATCAATGGCCAACACAGGAAGATCCTTTTCTGCTTTACCAAGATGATGCAATGGGTGTGCGAACTTCTTACCATCAGCTATCAAACAGTTGATCAATGCTGAAACATATGCTTCACTTTCATCGATTCTGTTCTAACGTAATAATCAAATTTGCAGATGACAATCGCTAGCGCTATTCGAATTCATTTCAAACAACTACAATCGATGAAAAATACGAACTGGCATCGACAACCAACATCCATTCCAATCAACGAATAAATTTTCAAGAAAACACATAATGAAGTAAGCCATCATTAAAAGCACTATAGGACATAACACACATTTTTGATCGGATAATTCACGTATTACTTGTTCAGTGAAAACGCTTGCAATATTCTTATCATTTGGAGATCTGAACAGCACCAAAAATGGTAAACCCTCTTCAGTCATCTCTTCAGCGTTCTCGAAAGTTAATTCACGCACCAAAGGAACACATTTATCCGTTAGCCATTGCCTTCAATGAGCAGTAATTATTATTAACGACTCGCATATTAGTCACTTACAATATTTATAATTCATTGCAAACTTTTAAAAAAAATTGGAACTTTTAATCTTTCAGAATTGTAAAAAAAAATTAATTTGAAAACTTTAACACACTTCAAAAAATCGTAATTGGCCAAACCGCCAGTATATTCTAAACGTTCACCAGCCTGGAAGTTTCAAGCGATTACAACGAAATCAAATAAGAATCGTTCATGAGATCAAAAGTCACATATCATGTCCTGCGAATGGATATTCAAACAATTCACTGAATCAAAAAATGAAGCTATAGCAAAAAATTTTCGCGACAAGGCTCTTAGAAAATACGTCAAATTCACAAAAGGAAACAAAAAGTTGGTAGAATGAAAGAGCTAAGCTGTATTCAGTGTTAATATGACATGTTTGACTGTCAGTATTGAATTCGAATCTGATCATAGAGAAAAAGGACATCTCTGAACAGGCGATACGACAATTTATATAATGCCTCCTCAGAGTTCTCTGATAAAATAGTCACCGTTGAACAGTACTAATCGCTAGATAAACAAAAAAAGACCTACATTCGCAGGATAGAAAAACAATCTATCAGAGCCTTGCATTTGTGCATCAAAATTTTTCCCAATTCCAATCCAAAAAGAGCAGTCATCACGAAGTAACGAAGCAACTTTTTTGTAGTTTTCATACTCGGGTCCTGATTCCGCGGCAAAATAAGCTACCACATTTCTGTCATCGTTCTAGAAAACAAGAAACGTTACTTTAGAATTTACTATTGAAGTTTTCATTGCTTAAATTAGATTTTGAGGTACTTTATTGAGGAGCAAACTTGAAAAATGAAGAAAAACATAGCAAAACTGCAACTGTAGTTGATAAAATGATTTAGTAGATCACGAACATTTGAGAAATTTTAGAGTTATATAGTTTTAACCACATTCAGATATCGTCCATCCAGCTAAACGAAGCTAAAGCAATCAATCGCAATAAACTGTATTTGCCTCCCGAGCGAATGCTTTTCAAAAAGTATTCGGATATTGGTTTGCTAAATTACTGCTAACAAACAAGATCACTGCAAGCGTAGAGTATTCAAAAATTTTTGTCTAAATGAGGTCAAAGCGCACAAAATGAACTGTCTATAAGCCATGCTCACAATGCATATTGTAAATATTTCACATCAACGTTATGCGGTTCCGAGGCTCTTCAATGGATCACTGGACGATACCACTATCAATGTCTTAATTAACGTTACCTTCGAAATACTACCGACAGAAGGATGAATGTTAGAAGTCGAAAGGAATGGACTGTGTTGGACTCACTTTGATACTTGACGATAACTCGCTTTCCGATGCAAGTGTATTAATATTACTTTTAAGTTGTGATTGCATATACTCTTTTAACGCCTCGACTGATCGTTGACCCCTTAAATATTTATGTCGGTATCACTCGAATGTAACAATTTTTCGGCACATTCTCCCGAGCGATCACTCGAGTATTCCGTTGGATAGTTGTTACATTTATTCAATTTTTTNAAAAAAAGATAACAAACAGGTATATATGCTCGTAACTAGTCGTTTTTGTTAATTAACTAAACATGCTGATTCAAGAATTCGTGATATCTTATTTAACTTGTCCTCACGATTACTTTTTTAGTGAAATTAATATTTACCACAATCTTTGTAAATGAATATTGAAATTAACAAGATCAGATGGGAATACGATATTATCAAATGTATTAGATACGATAAAAGCATAAAAACATTCTCCCAGAGCGATTAGATGTTTGAAGTTGACAAGCAATTGTACCTGTATTCTTTTTTGACAAGTTCGCCATTTCTGAACAACTTCAAAGTTGGATATTTAGTAACGTGATATTTCTGTGCAATACCGGCTGTAAACGAATTACTCGGTACGAAAAGCAAAACCATCAAAAACATTATTTCATCCAATTAATATGCAATAATTGCATGGAAACATATTACTGCTTGAAAATCTAACAACAATGATTTATATCATCTTTGTATCTATTGATTAACAATTCCATGTTAATTAGCGAATAGGAGCACGAAGTCGTTCTCAGTTAAATGTTCTAGAAGAATCAGTGAATCAGAAGATAGGTATTCTACGAAACGAAAATTATTGCTTATAGGTAGAGCAAAAATCACTGATGAATGACGAAATAATGCACTAAATTAGACAAAAAAATTAACGGAATGAACAATAATTTTGAGCTAGACCTTCTCTGTCGCAATCAACCGATGCCCAAACCACCTTCCCTGGTGGTAAGTCCTGAAGAAGAACAGTTCATATATGTGCGTTCCATATGAACAACCCGTGACAACAACACAACAGAATACCAGACGATAATCAATATTGATAAGAATAAAATGAATCTCGAGGTCTTTAATATACAGTCAAAAGAGTTGTAATTTTGTAGTTTCCGTTGCTAAAATCACAACGGCGTTTTGTTGCTGACTGAACAGGGAAGTGATTACTATGAACATGCGTAAGAACAAAATGCTGTTTTGATTTTAGCAAACGGAGTTACAAGAAGATCGATACTTGGAAATAACCTTAAATTTATCGCTTGCTTCCAGGAAGGTCGGTTGGAGTTGTCGGGAGAAGCGACACCAGTCAGTGTAAAAATTCACGAACACAACTTCGTTTTCAGCTGAATTTTGAAAATTCATTTAGTAAATCAACAACTAAACTGGATGAGTGAATAATAACGCTACAATAATGTTAAACGAATTTATTTGTCTCATTCCAAAAACTTCCTAGCGTGTTTCCACATTCCAAAAACATATGAACTAGATAAAATAGTAAAAATTAGAAAAACAAGAAAGCAGAAACCTAGAACAGTGTCCGTATTTGAATTATTCAAAGAAGTTACCACACAGTTCACCACAGGACATACAAATGCCTAAAAACTGAATACCATAAGATGCTTAAAGATTTTTCATTTGAATCATAAATAGTTTCAGATGGTTATCTTCACAGAAATATGAGGCAGAAAACCGCTAAGGTACTTATTTTCAACGCTGAAATACCAATTTTTTAACTAGAATGATGAAATGCTAAACTATTGTTTTATTGAAACCACAAAACTACATTCAATATCTATTCCGAAACAAAAACATACCAGATAAAAAAATAGTGCAAACACATTCGACCACATCGCAACGCTTCCAAATTCCTTATCCACTGTTTTTACCCTGACTGAAAGATCAAACAATGAGAACTTAAAGATAAAATCTCACTTATATCCATTAAGATCCACGACGAAACACCTCGAGTCTATTCAAAGTCAAGAACTGAAACGTCGGAAAATGAACTAAAATATATATGCGCCACGCACTTAGATGATTCAGGACTCATAATTAATAATAACCGTTGGACGTAAAACAATAAATGTGCTGAATAAAGAGGTGAATAAACTGACGCAGAGAAACGTTATTTTTTACTTCAAAAAACTGCTCTTTATCTACCAACAAAAAGACGACTGATACGCTTAAAGATCAAATTCTGGAGTGAGCTTATTTGAACGATTGGCATGACTGATTGTTTGTAATTATCGCAGCGTCATATGATCAAACTGTTCGCGAATATGAAATATCCTTAAAAATTCACGTCAAATCATTATTAACGATGCAATAATCGAAGAACAATGAACGTTCCAAAAGATGCTAAATGGCCCTATAAAGCCGCAATAAAATACGAGATTGTTTAAAATGAAGATTTAAAAAGAAAACAAAAGATAGCTGTTCGCAGACCAAATAAAAGCACTAACTCGATCAGACACATCTAATTTACGGTTTCACACTAACATAGCAACTATGCGATTCTGATTAGCTAATATATAGTAAACACTAACTTTACGTCCACGTATAATAAAACCAAATTTGTGAAATATACTGCACTTACTGCTAACAAAAGCATATCAAGTGAATGAATCTCGATCACTCGTTCAATTAGTTCTCATAGTAGGCGGGACATATTCGCATCACCACAGCTTGGTGGTCTGTTGAGCCGGGAGAATGGAAACGCTTTGAGTTTTTGTGTGAGATTCTTTATGGAAAGCTTGTGATAGTTCAAAGAGTGTACTACACTTTTAATAACGGAATGAATGATTAACGTAATTATTAAAGACCAATATAACACAATTTTATTTATGCATGTCACAAGAGTAATAATTGAGCGAACAACAACAACGTGATTGGGACGAACGAAATGAATCAATGAACTGCTGCTATTCATGCGAAACTCCAACTATTTGAGGAAAATGAATTCAAAGTATCTGCGCTCCAAAGAAATACGTTGTTTTACGTCAAATGACGATGAGATGCAAATCAAATAACCTGTATATGTTTGGGATAAACTCGACCTTGTGGCAATCATTTACTATCGACTTCAATGTGTTTCGAGCTCATTTCATTCAGTCATTGTAGTATGCATTCGAACATTCAGCAATCATTCTTCATGCACAACAAATTCCTTCAGGGTGAACACCAATTCATTACAATCATGCACTCTAATAGATATTTTGTTTCCTTGTATTTAATGCGCCATATATTCACTCAATTTGAACACCATTTGATATTTTTCGTGCCGCTTCGGATTCTGTTTGTTAGTTTTTTTAGCTTTGAATAAATACACTAATCCACTAAATATGTTTTCAGGAATCAAACACTATTTATTCATTCCTGATTGTCTTCTATGAACTGAACTATCGCTGATGATTACGACAGTGCAATACAGTTCCACTGTACGGTCCCTTCAAATTTTCAATTTCTTTACTGGCATCGCCATTCTGCTCCTTTCATTGTAGCTTTCAAATAGCGTAAGTCCTTTTTGCATTTGCATTTCAATTTTTCCTCAATTCAGTATCACACTCCATGACCTGTACATATATTCTTTGTATAATTTGTTAACGTGCCCTCACATTGCATCTCTTCTTCAGCTTTATCATTTACAGATAACTGCTATGCTCATGATCACCTTTCAAATCAATCGCATCTCACAACAACTAATAAGTTTACCATAGCACCGTACGAACGCCTTTTCAAGCACCTTCCAGTGTCATTGATAACAACTGATGACGTTAGCTCATTTCATCGAGAGTGTGTAAGATCGCTCGTTGCTAAAATCACCTTCGTTTATAGATTTCGTGTTAAAACGCCCTTTCCGAAAAACATTTGTCAGTGATGGTGAATGTTGCAGCCGAGATATTATAATATTAAGAGGATATGATAAAAAATTGACGAGTGTACAAGCAAACATATCTTTCTAAGCACCGCCCAATATGCAGCTGCTTAAACTCTGGTAAACCTGAGCTTAAGCAGCAGCCTTCAAAAAATTACCCTTGACTGGTGCTCACTGTTGTAATGATTATTTGCTAGAGGCCAAAATTTGAAAGGTATTTATGCCATACGCCCGACCTGTAATTGTTATACCACTACCATGTGGAATTCTATATCAATGAGTAAAATTGATTGAACTGGAAAGGTTAAATAGAATCATCTGGAATCATCATCTTTCTCAGAGCTGCTAAACAATGGAAATATGTATTTAATCAGCAAATCAATTTCATTACGAATTTATGCCTCTGTTATCACGAATATCACTACGTCACATTTTTTCTTCTTCGGCATTCTTATTTCCGCGCAGCTAATGATAATTGCGTTTGAAATCATGTCTTCATGAAATTCGAACTTGAATTATTAATCTGGCAAGCACAGAGGTTTTCGGCTACTCTCCCATATTGCCCAATGATTTCTAGGGAGATCAACTCAGAAGGAGCGCGAAGATACATTCCTATTGATCGATTGAACACTTGTCCAACGATCGTTCAGAGTAGTTGTTTGGAACAACCAACAGTAGTAAATCAGTAACTTTTCGTTATCAATAATAAGTGGTTAATGTAACCGAGTAGATGCATAGNAATCGGCATATCAAGCACTCCACAACCAACCAATAACGAGTGCCTGTTGCCGTAGGTAATTTGCATAATTAAATCCAGCCGAATACCAACAACAATCCATTAAACAATCGCAACAATGACGAACATTTTGCCGATCGCATAGAGCGATCAACAAACCAACCGCTCACCGTCTAAACCCGGATTGGCAAGGCTATCAAACGTTTGTAACGTTGCTGACCAGAATGATCATAGCCGAACATCAATCCCATAAATAATTACATCCCTAATAAAATAAATGTTCCGCCGATCGCTCACAGCGATTGACAAAACAACCACTCGATGTCCAAATAACAATAACAATATTCCACCGTCTAAACGTAACTCCCAATCCCAATGGAAATAAAAGGAAATAAATATTAAACCTAGGAATTCCTGAAAGTATACATTTTGGCTTTACAACTGTTAATTCATTTATCAACATATCTGTTGGAAATTTCTTTCATTTGAGCCGTATTACCGGTCGTGTTCAACATCCCCCCCCCCCCCCTATGTTTTCAAGAAAATTCATCAGTTGTCCCATCTATTGAGACAAAATTAGATTCGAACCCTGCCTTGTTTTTTTTGTAACCTTAACTGCAAACGATCCGTGTTGATGTCAGAACATCAACACGCCGTTTAAGAAAGGAGCGAAAAAAGGAATGAGAAAAAAGAAAGGAATTGAAATCAACAAGCATCAACACTTTTTAAGAAAAAAGGAATAAGAAATTGTACTGTGCGTTATTGCCAGTTGATTGCTTTTCATTTTTGAGTCTTGTTGTCGTCGCCTGATTAGTATTTCATTGTTGGTTTTACTTTTATCATTGACTGGTACTTATTGTTGGAATCATTATCTGTTGTTGAATGATTCAATAAAAGTTTCCAACCGTTTAATAGCATAATGAGGTTTTTTCCCACACAAATACACCACAGCTGGGCAATAGCGTGCTATTCCGCTATTTCGCTAATTGTAATTCGCAAAAGAGCGGAATAGCGCACTATTGTCCACCTACGAAATACACGGTGTAATTTCAAAAATTTAAGAGAAGATTTGAAAGTAGCGATTGGTGGACTAGTTTTTACTAAATAGCGTTTCAGCGAAAACTACGCTACTTTTTCTGGTCAGTAGAAGCTTTAGCGACATGTCCTCGATACTCTATCGTTAGCGGATTATTTTTAGCAGAACAAGATTATTTTTTAAGTGAATTAACGATTTTTGTGAAAAAATTAGCGCGGCTACTTTTCTTCAGTAGCGTGCCCATCACTTCTGAATGATTCAGTGGTGCTGAATGGGCCTCGAAGTTGCAGAGGTGATATGCAGGAGCCTTTTCATTCACTGCTTGATCTTCTTCCCCTCACCCGAACTCACGATCAAAAGTGGTTTCGTCAAATCAGAGAACAGATTCGAAATTAGTTGGCCGTGTTCCACAACATGACATAAACGTATCATGTTTCGAATGGCTAACGCTCGAAACATGTGTTGGTAAATCGAACCGCCTTTCGGTTCGGCAACTCAGAATCATTTCTTTTTGGGTTGTCGACTTCAGATCTGGCCAACAAATGTAAATTAAAACATGTGATAAGGCATAGGTAGACCTGATTCATAAATATCAATTAATTCGCAAAAATATGAACATCTCGCAAGAGTTGAATATATTGGTGCAGAGAAAAATAAGCATTCCCTTGCAGACGAAAAGTAGCGATTGGCCGATCTCTGAAAGAAACTAACTTGCCAAAAAGGCCAATGAAGGAAATCGGGCAAGTCATCACCAGCTTATGCCGTTAAAAAATCACTATAGCAGAAGTTATCGCTACAAATTTCTGCTATAAGAAAAAAGATGCGCTTTATCAAAAAAAAAAAATTACCTCTGCTAGAGGCGGAACAACAAATAGCGTACTGTTACAAATCACTGCAATTCAGCATTGCAGGTAGTTTCAGCAATTCTCTTGTGGGTAGTGCTGCGCGTGTTTGGTGGAATATAGAAGAAGAATCTTTGTTTGTTTATCACCAACCACTTGGCTTACGTATTTGCATTCATCCCCTCGAGGATCTTTATCAGTCAGTCAGGTCTTTATCTGACTTAAGTGTCATCAACTCTTTTCTTACATCTTTAAGCTTTGCAACTGGCCGGTTATCGTCTACATTATTCAGCTTTAATTTGATGCATGCAAAAGTTCGTTTCAACGAGAACCTTCAAGGATGGTTACTACTCATTCTTCGCGGCACGGCGTAACCATCGACCGATCCTTGCGATAAGGTGAAGGCCGCGGCAAATCAATCCAGCCCAATCGCAGACTGAGCTCAAGCACGACCTCTGTGTAAAAGTCTGCGCTTGACTGAAGCTGGCGAAACTTACTTGCATTCGAGTGTTCTCGACGCACCATATGATTATCATGTGTCAACTTTTTGGATCGCTGCCCAAGTTTTAAGGGGGCCGAATGGCCGTACTTTTTCGTTTTACTGTTCTTCTCCAACGATGGCTTATGATTGCGTTGGCGAGGTTCTTGTTTCATGGTGTTGGGGAAGTGGATCAGTTTTTTTCAATGTAGGATGTAATGTAGTGTAGTTCTAATGATTAACTGTGTGAAATTCATGTGTTTTTGATGTTTTGTTCTTGGGAGCAGTCGTTATCTTTCAAGACAACCATTCAATGCTGTAAGTTGCGCTGTGGTGGAAAGAAAACTCCAATTTGGGGACTGAAGCGCTTGATACGTCGTTGCGTGCACGTCTAGATAAACCGGGAAGATGCTCGGCTTCAGTGCTTTGAAGCAGTATATCTTCCCAAACGGTTTCATTATGTGGTCGCATTTTTTATGGGTTGCTTAGCATTTATGAAAAGCAGCTTACGCTGGTTATCCTTGTCATTTGCCACTAATGATCATGGCAAGGTTTGTTTCAGTTTCTGTTTTGTTGCCTAATATCGTAGCGAATCTAAAAGACGAAGAATCTGGGCAGTCGATGCATTTGCGACGTAATCCGTTCAAAGGTTGATCGATCAAACGATTGAACTTGAAGAACTGTTCAAAGCGGTACTTGCCACTAAAATTGTGTTAATTCATATCGTACTATACATGCCTTTTGCTTTGATTTATGATACTGATCCTTCTTCTTTCCTTGTTTTGGAATTTTCAAGTTTGAGTATAAGTGAAGCTCAATATGGCACTTTGTGTGCTTAGATTACCGCTTTGCCCCATGTGTTCTATGCAATTCGAGTCAAATCAGGAGTATTCTTAAGCTTAGACTTACGCTTAGCCCATTGATGAGGCTAACGCATAGGCTTCAACTTATGTGTGAAGCGTATGAGCACATAAGCATCTGTAATGGCGCGATGGCGCCCGTTATCAGCAAAAGTACGTCAACTTCTTATGCTGAACATCCAACGGAACCACAAAAACAATCTACTTATTCTCTTATAAATGTTTCATTTCCTCAGTTCACTTGTCTATTTAACAATGAATATTTTTTCGCGTTGATTCACGAGATAGCACTGTAATCTATTAATCGATTAATGTTTGAATGAAAATCATTAGCGTTTGAGTATATCTAAATCGATTTACAGTGATGACGGCAATAGCGCAGCCTGTTCGATTCACAAGCCCAAGTACCGTAAGTATGGCTACAATTACTCCAGGCACTTCATCGAACCTGCAGACCCCTCAGGTATCCAGCCAGTGCTCGCTCCTTTCTTTTCATTTCTTTCAACGATATTATCAATGAGAAACGACTGCGTAGAATGCTCGTCTGAACTATTCATCACTATCTCTCCCTTTAACAATATGAACTCGTTCAGTTGCTCGAATTTCGCATTTTCTTGTTCTCGGCTTCAAAGAGCAAGTGTTCAGTAATGCATAGTTGTAAATACCAAAGAAAATGTTCTCGATTCGATAACTTAGTCTGATGTGACCGCAATTTTTCACCTTACAGTTTGTTGAACTCGCAAAAACTCCTCTTTGGTCATATTGTTCTCACTAAACGGCTGAGCTTCAGCGGGTTGTTTTTTGCTTGGAGCAAAGTCTCAGTAAAATCTAATTCAAAAATTTCAGAGTGCTGCGGCCTCACATCTTCAGGCATTAGCTCAACAACAATTTCAGCCGTACTACCTACGACCGGCTTACAGGTTCAAAGTAAATGCTGTAAGTGGATCAACTATTTTCTGGTTTTATTTTTAGCTGTTCATATACCGAGTTTAATTAATTGCCTTATTTTAACTAACCACTAGGTTCGATTCATTATTTGTTCTCAACCAACCGTCCAGTAAGTAAACCAATCAAAACATTTCACTCCTTAGTCGGATTCATCCGCACTGTTGATATTGTGACATTAATATTTAACTAATTATTTTCGATTCATTTATAGCTCAGCATAACTCACAACGTAACGGTACAATATCAGCTGCTATTTTATTATTTTTTGTTGTGACTTTTGTTATGTGTTTGTTATTTTATGTTTGAATTAAAATTTGCATTTTCATTCGTTCAACTAATTCTGTATCTTTATGCGCGATTTATTCTATATTTTTAGTGTAGACATTACAAAAATGTTATGATCTTTTGTTACACATTGCATGTTTCATTTCCCCATTCTCCCATAAGTAACCAAGTAAATGTAACCAAAATAGAATAAAGATTTTTCAAAAAGATCGGATGATGTACTCATTGTATATTTGCCAACCGCAATTATTTAATATGTTAAACGTTTGTGTTCAGCAACCAACGATCGGTGATATGATTACTGATGGCCCAGGTCGAAGGTTACGCAAGAATGTGGCAAACGTACGTCGACATATTGATTACGTAGCGAACGTTCTTAGTCATATTGAGGTATGTTTCATAACGTTTACACGGAGTGTATCTGTTACGGTAAATTGACAAATAATATACCTGATTAAGGCACGTTTGTGGCAGTATGGTGTGCGAGATAGATCAGCATTACAGCCAGATGTATTGTATCAAAACAGTGCACTGCCACCGTTATCAACAATTGATAAACCCGTGGATTGCGTCCTGACGAAGTTCGTTCGAGCGGCCATGAATAAAGTCAAATGCCCTATCTATAGTATATGCGTATGTTTATTTTGTGTTTTGTTTATGGTATTGTTGACTTTAGTGAAAGTAATCAGATGAGACATCACTTCTGAGAGAAAAGATGTCGATATTGCATTTGAAATTTTAATTCAAAATACTTGGGATAAATTGAAGATGATGCATGAAAAAATAGATACTGCTTTTATAAGATCATCTTAGAAGGAGTATAAATGTTGCATTATCAAATGACTGATTACAGTGGACACCCGAAGGAAAACGACTCATCACAGGTGCATCAACAGGTGAATTCACGTTGTGGAATGGAACTGCGTTCAACTTCGAAACAATTCTACAGGTACGGTACTGCAGATGGCCATTAATGGCATTCTGGATCGCGTTTATCGTTTGTTATTTTTCAATTTTAATAATTATTGCAGCGGTTTGTTTTTGTTTCGTTTGGTGGCACTTCTTAATCACTCTTCACAATAAACTCCATTCTCATTTCTTTATTTTCATTTAAACGTTCGCTCTTGCTCATATTAATAAAATGAGATGTGTTTATTCTAAAGTTGTTGTTCTGGAACAAATAGTACAGTTTACATCATAAAGTATTATTGTAAATATTAATTTCACCATCTCACATAAACGTTACATTCAATTTGTAGAAATATATCATCATGCACTAGGATCATTAATTCAAGTAGTTGAAGTGAACTTTATGAATAGTGGAAACTAGTGCGGCAAACACACCAAATTTATGTAGGGTCATATAACTGTTTCATAATAAAATCACAATAACCATAATCCTTCAGTCATATTGTATGGTATTCAGTGCTCACGACCCAACTTGTCTTATTCATTCAATTGTCATTTTCACGAATGTGCCACGTGTCATGACCGCATATTTTACGGGTGTTGTTTTATATAATTTATATATTTGATCATTATTTTACTAATGACACGAATTCTGTTGAGTGCTAAATAAAACGAAATTCAATCAATTAGAAGCTATATTATAATGAAAAGATTGATCGTGTGATACGTTATTTGCCTGTTTATTGTATGTGATAAATAAGGCAAATAAACGTTTGTTTTCGAGAATTGAGTTGTCATACAACATTTGGCAGTGTTATCATACTCGCAATTTGCTATTGAATGATAGCAATTCAAATTGTTTATGCAGACAGAGGACTGACTATTTTGTTACAAAGTGCATGTGTTGTTTTTTGTCGTATAGCACACACACATATATACCTGAATGCTGGATTCGTTATTATAATTGAGCGTTTCCAACTGTCTGATAAGTGAGAATGTACGAATGAACCATTTCGTGCCTATGTTTAGTAGTTATCTCAAAAATCAGAATTTTTTTATAATGAAATGAAAATGCAAAAACAGCCGATATTACTCTATTGCGAATAGAATTGTGGTCCCAAATTAAGAAACGAAATTGCACATCACATTCTCGCATATAAACGTTCATCAAATGTTTGCATGCGATCACATTACAATGTGAAATTGTTTTGCAACAGTGATGTAATAATGCTTTTCTTGAACAAGTAGGTTATACTTAAGCATGCTGTAGAAGAGAGTAAATTGCAGCGTTAATCACAGTGAATAAATCCTCTTGTTGGGCAATATCGAATTTCGATTTTAGGTGACTAACAGCTGAGTGGATTTTGGAATGAATTCATTTTACTAATCATTCATTGACTTCCATTTGGATAGAAATACGTTCGGTCAGTCTTTCGATTAGATTAACCAACTAACCAATCGAACATTCAATAATTCATTGCTAAATAGTATTTAGTCAGTAATTCTTTATCGTATTCCTCATATTCTCGCTGGGAAACTGACACTGTTACAGTGTTTTTGATATTGAACGGTAGCTTGGAATTTTAAAATATTATTCCACTATCAAATTGTGTTTGATGAGAACCATTTTCATGTGAGTCTTTTCAACCCTGGTGACAAAAGTGGTATTTGGTAGTAAGATAATTTGTAATCGATCAATCGCCAGTGTTCAATTCTTTTTCATTTCATTTTCAAAGTAGCGTAGGTGTGAATGAAGTGAACAAAAATTAATCGCTTCACATATCTGTTGAGTTTATTAAATATGAAACTGCGTAAGTCAGTTTACCAAGTCATCTCTGTGTTCATCAATAAGTAACTACGTTAATATTGTTCTATAGCTATGCATGTGACTATCATCTCAAATGATCAAATGAGGAACAATCACTTGGGGGATGTCTGTGTAATGCGTATTGATAACTTCTTATATATATACTTCTGATTACATTTGATGAAGTTGATCAACTAAAATCAATTGAATTGCATTCCTTCCATAACTCCTATTACTAATTTATCCCATTTTCCAACTAAATCAATCGATACGATGAACATCAAACATCTTTTAAAAGATGATCCGTTCAATGAAATCTGAATTTTCGGTCACTTCTTCCTCTACATCCGTAAATCGCACGTCCGTTGCCTTTCTTTCTTCTGCTCACCATCAGCACAGTTGCTATAAGTAGTTATGTCGTAATCTTTATGAAAACACAAATTGATGACGTTGTTGTCTAATGCTCAACTTCCAACGTATGGGTCAGTCTTTGTCAAAAAGAAATTTTTTTCGGCCTTCTGACCTCGGTGACTCGGATCTTTATCGAGCGATTCAATAGGAATGGACAAACTTCAATGGGATAGAAAAAAATGAATCAATTTGAAAAAATGTAAAAAAAAGCGATAATGATGTGCGCATATAATTGGTCATTTGATTGCGTTTCATTATTCATTCTAACATATTTCATTGATTCATTTCACTGAATAGTGCTTGTCGAAGATGATATTATTGTGCAACCTCTCATTCCATGTGAATATTTTGAATGATTTGAATAATCACGGTGCTTTATATACGGATAAAATCCATATGGATTCTTCACTTCTCGATTACACATCGCAGTGATCCGTTATCTTGCTTAGATATCTGTGCTGTCAGTTCTTCACTCGAATATGTGTGTCTGCGAACGTTTTTGCTCATTCTCACAATCAGTGCAACTCGCTTCAGTGTGATAAGTTCAGTGATATCATACCATGTCGTCATTATCACATCATAATGCTGATGCTGTGATACTCAAGAAGCATCTAATGTAAAATATCTTTTGCATTAGCTTTCTTCATCATTGGCATGATGTAGCGCTCTGAATGAATTTCAACCAATAATTACCTTTCATCTGAAAATTAAATTTTCTGGTCTAAATATATGCTCAGATGTAGGGTTCAGATTGCAATTGTTTTCTATCGAAAATCATCCTGTCTTTCAGTGGAAAAATTTTTCCAAGTTTTCAATCTTTTAAACTATCGTTCATTGTACGCGATGCAGCATCTCATTAATTTGTTGCACATCAGATAGTTAGCTTCATCAATGAACTTATTAAGGTTTGAAATTGAACGGAGAATATGAATGAATAGCATTTATAGGCGCATGATTCTGCTATTCGAGCTCTGAAATGGTCTCATAACGATCAGTGGTTGGTTTCGGCAGATCATGATGGATTTGTGAAGTATTGGCAACCGAATATGAATAACGTGCATATGTATCAAGCACATAATGATGAACCGATTAGATCTTTAAGGCATCGTTGTTATTCTTTCAATTATTCATTTCTTTTGTGAACCAAATGAAAATTCAATTTTTACTGTAAGATCATTTTGCATTCGACATTAAGACATTTTTACATAAATAAAATCAGCGAATTGTTTTGGTTATTGCTCATTAACAAGTTCAGTTAATTGATGTTTCAGTTTTGCACCGACAGACATTAAACTGGTGACAGGATCAGACGATGGTACAGCTAGGGTGTGGGATTTTGCGAGATGCGCTGAAGAACGCGTATTTAGAGGGCATGGCTCGGATGTTCGCAGTGTTGACTGGCATCCTCAAAAAGGATTGATTTGCACGGGTTCTAGAGACTCACAACAACCTGTAAAATTATGGGATCCGAAAACTGGACAGTGCCTTGCCACATTGTTGGTTGTTCACTGACAACTTTTTTCAGTCTTCTGCGTTTGTAAAAAAATAATCAAAGTCACATCACATCATTCATATCATTTTACGTGATGTGATAATTACGATTTTAATGGCGGTGATAACTGCTGCGACTGCGTACAACCTAAATCGCTATTCTTATTGTGTTCACGAATCGCTCCTTGTTTCGTAACAATAAATTGCTAGATTAAAAAAATTCAGAAAATCATTCGAAATAATGATCTGCCTTCAAAAGCAGCTAATGCCGAATATCCATGAGTCGTTAACATGTGCTTCCATTCAAGTACTTTCTAAGCAACCGATATTTCTGTCAATGCAAGTTGCAATTTTAGGCACGATCATAAAAATTCAGTGACAGCAGTACAGTGGAATAGAAATGGGAATTGGTTATTGACAGGTTCACGGGATCATTTGATAAAAGTTTACGATATACGTATGATGCGTGAGATGCACAGCTATCGAGGGCACAAGAAAGAAGTCACCGGTATATTGTTCATTGAAAAGATTTTATTGTTCGATTCAATGTGACATTGCATATATTCAATGATGTTTGTACTATCATTCAATTATTCTGAGAAATCAGTGTATTATTGTGTGAAATTATCACATCATCTAGAGGAATAACTACACATCTGTTAAATTTATTAAAAATTATGAACGATCATAGTGGGATGGTGAAAGCAGTGATCATTGTCATCTCTGTTTTGATCATCCAAGAGAGGTGAATGTCTGGTCTATTCGAAACTGCTTCATTGAAGATGATCAATTGCTTAATCAACGGAGTCCGACAGTTCATAAGCAACTGAATGCACTGAAATGAAATAACCATAGAAGTGATTGTGATGCTTATAAGCAAATCGAATTATAATTATGCTGATTTCATGCACACTGCTTTCATGCGAAGTGTGAAAGATTTATCGTTATTTCAGCTCTGGCATGGCATCCGGTTCATGAAAGCCTTTTCGTAAGTGGGGGTGGTGATGGCTCGATGGCATACTGGTTGGTGAATAACGAGAAGGAGTTGAGCTTTATGGAGCATGCTCATGATCAAGCAATATGGTCTCTGGAATGGCATCCGCTCGGTCATATTCTCGCATCAGGTTCTTTTTTTTTGGTAGATTTTTGGTAGATATTCATTCGTAATCAGTGAATACACGTGATAACCGCTTTGAAAGCTGAGATCGTACATAAATTCTTATTTGATTTCAGGTTCAAACGATAACAACACAAAATTCTGGGCACGCAATAGACCTGGTGATACGCAAGATGATATCTTTGGATTGAGTTCTTCGACGGGTATTCCAATGCATATGCTGCCTAAGGAAACAGATACAGATTCTGAACAGTCTGCTCTTTCTATTATCCCAGGCTTGTACTATATTCCTCATAATTCATTCATTTAGTTAGTCAAACGAGTATTTGAAAAATTTCGGATTAGCTAAAATCATTGCGAAATATTAATTGTATGATCCTCAATACTGTATTGATTTCAGGAATGGGTCTGGATGATGACGTCTTCCAAGGTATGCAAAAACGAGAACAACTCAACATTTCTAGTGCTAATACACCGATGACCAATAGCACACCTTTAGCTGGACCACTGCTTTTTCCAGATGATCCAAACGCTAGGCAACAGGTTTGCAGTAGATATATTTGTTTTTCTCCCTTTCAGCTAATTCGTTTCTGCANACTGAATTAAGGCAACAAATATTGGTGCTAAAAAGACACTCATAAAACAACCACCACCCAAGAAAGCACAACGTCAGTTCGAACGAATGTGGAATGTTGCAAAACCAGCGGTAGGTGCCGCAGTTGGTAATGACGATGTGGAAGAGGAAGTACCAGACGAATCATCATTTAGACGTCCGAAAACATCACTTCTTGGACCACCACCTCAGTCAGCAAGTAGCACTTCAAAATGCGAGAGTAAGTCATAAGATGATCGTTCTCGATGAATATCGATAATGATGAGGCATTTAAAGGTACTCAACAAGCGCAACATTCCGCATCATCAGTACCGAGCAGTTCGGTTGATAAACGAGTGAGTGATGAGTCATTAACGACTGTGGTCAATTCACCTCCAGTCTCGTCGTCATACGGTCATCATCCTTCACAAGCAATGCCGATCACAACACCGCCTTCGATCGCACAACTTCATGTTGCTGCTGCGGTTGCTGCTGCTCAATCGAGCATCAATCCTCTTCTTAATCCACCACCATCCATCATACCCGTGCCTCCACCTGGCTCTTTACTACCTCCTATTCCCATGCCACCATGGTCGTCTACTAGCCAAGCACACACTCAGCCATCACAACCGACTACTACTAATTCAAGTCCAAAACCACCTCCGATTATTCAACAAGTTAATAACGCACCACAAATCAGTGTTGCTACCACTCAGTCAAGACATCACCCACCAATCATAACACAAGAAATGATACCGCGTTAGTCACGTTCTTGCTTGCACATATTTTTAATCAGTTATGTTTTATGTCTCTTGCACAATCATCACATTGCAGCAACCATGGGAATGTCTATCAGTACATCGCAAATGCAACAAATAGCCGCCTCATTGCCGTTCCCACAACCACCTGGTCCCGGACCATTGCTGTGGCCACCACCCATTGTTGCCTTTCCTCTACCGCAAAATCTCGTTAGTTTTGTCGTTCGTTGTTGTGTGCATTTAATGGTTAATTAATGACAGCGTTGATTTTCAAGGATATTGACTATCGAATGGGAGCAAGCTCGTCACTGATGATGCCTCCTCGTGCAGTCTCTACAGCAGCAGCACACGACTCGTCATCAAGTGCAACCACATCATCAGATGTTGATCTACGTACAAAACAACAGCAACAAACTTCCTCTTACTCATCCACCAGCAGCAGCACTATAACGTCGCAGTCCTCACAGTCGTGGCGTAATCCAAACAAAACCACTCATTTATCACCATCTCCATCTGACGGTAGCTATTGCTATTAGTCTATAATCGTGTTCATTTCTATACATATGCGATGATTAGTTGTGTTGTTTTTCTAGTAGCCGGAACAAGTGCACGCATGATGCATGATCCAAGAATACGTCATGAGGCGAATCTAGCGGGCTCTTTACAACGGGCACACGATGAATCGCCTCCATCACGCCTACGCACCAATGAAACAGATCGAGATGCTGATCAGCAGCAAGCTGGAAAACAACAACAGCATGCTTCTTTGCCCACATCGATCTCGGCAGCACCCATTCGTGATCCACGAAAGAGGCCGCAGTCGTCGACATCAACCCCATCTCAACAAATGCTTCCAAAACGAGTTAGTTTCGTCACTCACATTTCCCTTCCACGAATAATGATGCATTTTTGTGCATCGTCACCGCTGTATGAGCCAAATCGCAGAGAGTAGTTTGATGTTACAAATTGTGTTAGTTGCATTGTGAAATATGCCATGAATTTTTGAAGTGACAGCTTCCAAGTTTTGTAATTTCCTGGAGACTATTAGTTCTGTTTAGTTATTATAAATTTTATTGTAAATAATAATCGTAAGAGGGGTGAACGGAAATTCAAATAAGGATTTTCAGGAAGGTGATTATGATGGTCGATTCGAAAGTACTGGTGCAAAATCGATGAAGAGGGCATGGATGCCAGATATGGGTGAGAAGCGATCAGGTTACGGGATGAGTTCAGATGGAGGAGGAGGTGCTGGATCGCGAGCGGGATCATCAGCGATTGCTGGCGATCGAAACGCATCAGCAACACAGCATTCTGTTTCGAGAGCTACAAATGGCTCTGGTGGAACTGAATTTAGTAACTTCGAAGACAGAGCACCACTTGGTCATATCCCTTATCAGCATTATTCCAATAGTGGTTCTGGCACAGGTGGAAGTGGCGGTGTGGGAGGTGCGCCTGGGAGTGCTCCTATGCGACGATCTGGCCCATTGATTGACAGGGCGCGTGGCACACGGGGTAGAGGGCGTAGAGGGGGCTACTGAAAAATTTTAATAGTTTATCGTCATGGTGTTTCATTATGGGACCACACACATCAGAACACTCTTGTATTTTCGATTTGTTGAAACGGGTAAACTCCGAATGACGCGGACGATAGGTTGTTGTTGCTGTTGAAATTCACTGTTTCATACGAATTTGAGCAATGTGAATCAAAGCTGTCGTTTAACAAATGGAACACTTTCCGTCAACCATAAATTTCCATCTTCTTATGTTTGAATCTCATCTAATGGATTATTCTAGGAGTGATGTCCTAATAGTTGGTGAACTGTAACAGTCAAGTGATCTCTGTCACGCTTCTTAGTGTTCTTTTTTAAACTGCGAAAAAGTGATCATTGGAAGACAAGCAGTATATATCGATATTGTACCCATTATACCACTTTTTCGATAAATTTAATGCTGAACTAAGCATAAGCCAGCCCAAGTTATGCTCAAGTCACAGTCAGAATTCAAAAAGAGCTTAATCGAAAGTTTTCTTGAGCAAGTTGTAGCCACGTACCAAGCTTCAAATCAATTTCTAATTATTGTCGTTTAGAAGAAACAAGATTAGGATGTAGTGAAGGAATCAGCATCATAGAACATAACATTCTTATGAGAGTGACTGCAGTCAATGAAAATGATCGAAATGTACGAAGAATGAACGATAAAATGAGGAAGTGATTATTGTGCTAATTAAACGAGATCGATTTGGACATATTATCACAGTTGCAGATAATTTTGATAAAAACAAATAATTCAAGTTGAGCTGATAAGAAGTTGTATTGAAACACACTACATTTGCAATATATTTGGCCCTCTCGTAATTTTCGAATCGCGTTGTATCAAGTATGCGATATGTTGATTACGCGTTCAGCTTTAATAATAAATCACTCCAATCTGAAAAATTAATTGCGCGTACTGACTTTGAGTGCCACAGTTTTGAGTGAATGAGGAAGTTACATTGAATCGAAATAGTCATTTTTTCAATGGAGTGGTTCGTGTTAATTCCTCAGTCACAACTATATCTCCATTCTTAAGTGACACGTTCCCAAAGTGTGTATGATACCGAATTGTTGTTTATGGTCACAAACGTTATTCAATTGCAATGAAGTTGATCAGCTGAAAATGTATTGATTTCAAGGATATTGATTAATAATGGCGATGCACCAACTAATAATAATGGATCTCATTCATAGTTCCTCAGTCGTTCAGTGATAGTTTTGCACTTCGTAAATTACTTTTTTATGGAGTGCAATCAGACGATTCGAGAAGTTTACATGCAGTAATTCTTTTCATGCAGTTGTACTGCGAAATATCAGAACTTCTTTTTCCGTAATTAAGTGACGAAGAAATCACTGTATTGAATGATGAATAAGAGAAATGTTATTTTATCTAAATTTTTCTATCAGTTTCATGGTGAAATCGGATGATACCGTTTAACGTGAATGATGACGCAATGCAAATTTTATCATGTAGTTGTTAAGTCTAAATGAATTTGTGGTGCAATGAAACGAACGGTTTTAGACTTGAAATTCATCGACAACTGCAAGTATTAGTCGAGATTATCATTCGAGTAAGTGTATAGAAAAGAGACTGTGCGCGCATCATCCACTTACTTCGGCTTGCACTTTTTTGTGTGATTGATTAAATTTATAAACCGTATGAAACTTTTTTCACTCGTTTGTGTCATTGTGAACCATTTTATTGTTTCTTTTTCAACTTTTTTCCCTTGTATGTTTTCTAGAATTGAGGTAATTGAATTAAATACGTGAAAACTTTATCTACGTTTATTGATGACTGTATTTCGTTTCGTTGTTGTTTTTTCTTGTTTCGAAATAACACTGAAGTTTATATGATGTTGACCTAAGTATACATTATATGATACATTATTGCACTATAAGACTTCATATGATGGGTTGCATATCGTCTGTACATTGAAGAGCCGATGCTAATAATATCAATTGTTTGAATTCTTCTTGTACAACCNTGATATCTGATATATTAACTGGTTAATTTGAACGTTGCTTATGTAATTCTGATGACGGTGTTAAGCGTCCAATTTTGGATATGGTCAATAATCGATAAATGTATTGGTCCATATTCAACATGGACAGTGTCAGCATGTGCGGGTCATTTAGATGAGGGTTTTTTGGTTGTTATTTTATGTATATCGATTTAATTCATTGGAACAAACAAGCAAGGAACAAATTCACAATGGAAAAGAAGTACTTCGAACAGCGCTTGAAATCATTTGAACCCGGACGATTCATAAGAACATATGGGTCTACTAACACATCCTAAATTTCACTCATTCGTTCTATGGAAACCGTTGAGTCCATCAGGAAATATTATTTTTGGGATGAACTCATGAGCATATGACAAATAAGATAATTCACAATTTTGGGTGTGCATGAAAGTGCAAATTCCAACGTTCATACCAGTAAAGGACAGAGGATAGTTAGTCGAGTAGAGGGGGACGACGAACGTACAAATTTTTGACTGGTTCCTGTACTCGGAGACATCAAATCTGTGCATTATTCTGATTTGCTAGGAAGAAGGGATCGAACTCTCTCGTGCACTTTATCTACTTTATGCATTAAATGAACGTCATAACAATAATAGATTAGCACAATTACGAGCTCAAAAAATAAGAGCAACAATTAATATTCGGATGGCTTTAATTGCCTCGGCTTCACTTTATGATTTTCGGAAGCGCCTCTGGGATATTGCTTAGCATGGGGGAATGGTGTACCGAATAATGATGGCTCTGTCTCGACGTAATTTTGCTCAACATCTGCTATTACGGATCGACCTTCTTCCAAAGCCATTTGCTTCGTCACCATCACTAAACTCTAAAAATTCGAATAACACTCTTTTACTTACGTCTTGATGTATATAAAAATTCTGTACCAAGACTGAAGAAGTGAAAATTGATCACATGAAACTGAACTACTTGAAAATAAGCACGTAAATAATGGACAATTTAAAAAGTAACAGAACAAACCTTGAATGTTCTTGGTTCATAAATAGCAAGTTGGGAAAGAATAACATTATCCAGTAAGATATGTGCTTTACCTAGCATATTCTTGAATGGTTCATATTCAAAGTGGTGTTCTGCTAGCGCTGTTCTGAGTCGTTCCTCTGCGTACTGAAAAGCTCAAGTTAGATTAATTTGGAATTTGCCTGCAATTTACCGTTTTTTTTAAACAAAAATACCCCATAATGATATAATTATCGAGTAATAATATGGTTACGATTATAAGATCACATGCATGTAAAAAGCGCCATGCCATAAGCGAAACAAAATATTTACGAATTTTTCGAGTTTCGGTGCATCCTCTCGCTGCATAGACATATAATGAAAGATTTTATTCTGTTTTCTGTAACCTCCTTTAACAGTTGTTCGTAGTGATCCATACTGCCACTGAAATGTTCACCAATATTCATATATGGAACAATGGGATAAGTGTAATGAAATGTTTAAATTTTCACTTAGTGTTGAACTAGAGAAGTGGCTGCTGGAGTAGATCGATTCAATTGCGTTGTGTGTGAACAACATTTCACTGTGAACTGACATCATGTGATATCGTTTAAAAACCATCACGCATAGATATGACCATATAAGTAAAGAAACACATAAAAATAGATTACCGCTATGAACCTTCGAAGACGTTCACGAGATGGCCATATATCAGGTTTAGGTATAACTTCAAACGGATGATACGGACTGTTGATTATTCGCCTCAAATGGATCACTGCGCTTAACCGCATCTCCGACAATATAATACAACACACTGTAAAACCTGTGGCATTCAAGACCTAGAAATGGCAACGTTGCAAATACTCGCGCTTTTGAAAATCTACTATCATTGAACGTTTTGCATCGGTATCGCTAATTTATTGTATCTTTTCTTTAATCTGAACATATTCAATGTGATTTCCCTTCAATTTCACGGAACCAAATTCATTGAGCTCAAAAGCGTTCTGAATTTAAACATCACTAACACATTCAAAATTTGTAAACTCGCCCGCCTTCCTCATGATCACCGTTTATGAAAAACTTCAACGAACCACTTCGCCTTTATCGCTTATGACGCTTCGCCAACATCTCATTAGCTTATGACGATGGAAACGATCACGTTTTAATGCAAGAAACTGATCTCGGGGCACTAGACTGAGGCTGAGACTAGGCTTAGGTTGAGGCCGAGGATATGCTTAGGCTGAGGCTGAGTCTCAGCCGTAATGCTGTTGTGCTCCCTGAAACGACACTAGTACCATTAGATGTTAGTCTTGTTATTAATGTGACTTTGAAAAGTAGCTCTTACGATTGCTTAAACTTCTAATTAACTCCAAATTAGGTTAGCGATTATATTGTACGTTGCCCATCACTTACAGACGAACTCAACAATAAGAGTTTAAGCCTAATTGTATTCGGTGTAGAAGTCCATATCATTCCGTGAAATTTTTATTCATAGAATTATGAGAACGTAAGTTGATTTGAATGATGTATTTGCGTAAGCTTCTATGATCTGTTCAACCGAATTATAGGTGTAAATGTGACTCGGGCAACCGCCTGCGGTCAATTGCATCTCTAAAAGACAAGAATGACTACGAATCATGCCTTAATGGACGAATTCTCCTCTGTGAGTGCATTTCTTATCCAAGCTTTAACCTACAAATCTTCTTCAAAGGAAACAGCAGATTCACATTCAGAAAAACTGCAACAATGTCGATAAAGTCAACTGATGACATCTCTGCTTATGAGGAAAATTGAGGGTTATCAAAATGAAGTTACGTTAGCTGTAAAAAATTACAAGTGAGAAGTAATTTTACTGGAAAAGAGTTCGATTCATGCTGTATTTTTTCGACTTACGGAATGGAATTTGCAGGCTGCAGCTGACCGTATTCGGAACGTTTGTATAATAGCGCATGTTGATCACGGAAAAACATGCCTTGCCGATTACCTGATTTCCTCGAATGGTATCATATCTGCAAGATTAGCTGGGAAAATGCGTTATATGGATAGCCGAGAGGTAAGAACTTGATATCTACCGTCATAAAAGTTGTAATGAATCTGCATATTGTTAGCTTTTGAATGGGAAATGTCAAGTGATGTTTTGCTCAGATTTATACCGAGGTGTTTGCAGTATATATGTCGTATTAATTGTTAGTCGAAGTGGTCGCCAAACAATTTCGAAATTTACGTCAACCAAAATCTTTTGCGCATGTATGAATTGTCTTCTGTTCGCCTTCACTGATATACAAAAATATCGAGCCAGAAGTAATTTTTCAGAAACATTCTCTGTCATAATTTGCATCGATATTGATAGTTTCTGCAGAATTGTAATTATTATAGGATGAACAGGTGCGAGGTATCACAATGAAAACATCTGCAATAACTCTTGTCCATGAATCTTTACTCGTAAATCTTATCGATAGTCCGGGCCACGTTGACTTCTTCGGCGAAGTTTCAGCAGCACTTTTTCTTTCAGATATTGCTCTTCTAGTCATCGACGTGGTACAGATTTCGAATCTTCTCAGATAATTTATATTAGAACAATTTCATCCTTCTTCCCTTTTGCCAATTTATTCATTTCAACAAGCCTAAGGTGAAATTTATCTGTGGTTTTACCTGATTCATTTTCGAAATTCACTGATTCCATCACTGAAATTATTTTTCACCTGAATTTTCATACTATTTTAATTTCATCTATAAGAATCATTCAAAAAGATTTTTCCGTTTGTGAATTAAGTCAATTTTACAGGTTGAAGGTGTTTGTTCTCAAACAGAATTTTTATTGCGAAAAGCGATTGACTTGAATTTGGATATAATATTGGTACTTAATAAAATCGATCGCTTATTCGTTGAACTTAAACAAACTCCTGCTGAGGCATTCGCACATATTCGGCGACTTATGGAACAAGTTCGTTCGTCGTTTTTTTGCTTTTAGAAACCGAAGCGAATGTTCATTTTTGATGTATCGATTTTGCAAGGCTCATTTTGTTTAAGAATTTTGAACCAAAAACTTTCAGCAAAATTGTGTTTGAATTAGATGATCGTTGCCATTCATTGGTTTATTTATTGAATTTTCATCTGAATCTACAAAAAAGATATTAGTTTGATAATGGAACATTTGAAGAAGGGCATCATGAATTCGAGAATGATATCGTTACGTTTTAGGTGAATAGTTGTATTAGTCAAATTGTTTCTGGAACATTGGTAGAAGAAGACGATTGGAAGAAGGTCGATACTGCCGAGCAAGGTTTATATTTCTCTCCTGAAAAAGACAACGTCATTTTTGCATCTGCCTTGCATGGTTTGTCTTTGTGGTTTTGTTCATTTGGACTTGCATGTTTTATGCTTTCATGTAAATGGATTATTTGAAACAAACAAATCATTAGTTTTTATTGATCTGATTTGAATGATGTACGGTCGATTACAGGCTACGGGTTCTCATTGTCAGACTTCGCAACCATTTGGTCACCAAAGCTCTCAATATCGGCTGGTGAATTAAAATCGAAATTGTTCACTGATAGTTACCTTTCGAAAGGTGTCTTAAAGGCGGGTGCGGATCACTTTGATAAAAAGAGTTTATTTGAACAACTTGTTTTAGAACCACTTTGGGAGGTTCATAAATGCGCATTCGTTGACGAAGATTTCGATAGACTCAAAGTTCGTTTATTAGTTTATTCTTGATGTATTTGTTATCGAAAATTTTTCTCGATTCGAACGTTTGGTTCATTTTCGTAGTTGACATGTTTATGTAAGCTAACATCTGATACTTTTATTGAATACGCAACTATTCTTTGCATATTTTTGTGGTCATAAGAATCTCTCAGGCTGAATCCTTGAATTTCGCAATCTTGAGACTTTCGTTCGATCTGTTCTTTTTCTCTTTTTTTCACAGTGTAGATTATGAACCGCTGTTGATTAACCTCATTTTCGAACTCTGTGCATTCGGTGGATTATATTCGCGGGGTGGAATGGATTATATTCGGACTATGTACACCTTTTCTTTGCATTGTTTTGTTTTTCATTTTAAATAGATCTTTGCAGTTGTAATTTTTTTTAGAGGTTCGCAGCAAAAATGCATACAAGCATTCGAAGTAAACGAATTGTGGATGGATTTGACGAATTTATGCGTTCATGGTTACCACTGTCAGGGGCATGTTTGCGTGCCGTCACATGTGCAACAAATGCACGAGATGCTTTCAAGCGTTCCAATCGTTTAGCTTCTCTGTCTTTGATGGATGATACTCACCCAATGTATAATCATGTTTATAACTGCTCACAAGACTCAGTCACAATTCTTTATCTCACAAAGATATTGCATTTCGATGATGCTAATGTCACTGCTATTTGTCGAATTCTGTCGGGTCGTATTGCGGTTGGTGACGAACTCTATACGATTGCTAATGATAAATCTGACAACGATAATGGAGAAACGCTCATTGAAAAGTTTCATTTTATCATTGTTATAAGTTTTTTCGTGTCATTTTGAAGCAGCTACTCTTATAATCAAAACACCCATTCGTAACTCATTTGTCAACATGCATTTCAAATCGAGTCGAATCATTTGTTGTTTCAAAAGCTTTCGTTTCTCAACGAATGAAATTGCAGCGAGAAAGTGACGATAAACGGACTGTATATGCTGATGGGTCGTGAGAGAATCTCGATAAGAAGTGCTTTGGCAGGAACAGTGTGTGCAGTGGAACTGAATCAAACGTTCTCGTCGTGCACACTCTGCAGTGAACCGTTCGAAGTTGGTCTTAAACGACCGTCACATATCGGTGAACCACTCGTACGAGTATCCGTACAGTCGCTTGGCGATTCAGATGATTGGCAGAAGTTACGTTCAGCCCTCAAACAGCTCAGTGTACTCGATTCAAACGTGCGTGTCATTGAACAAGAGAATGGTGAACTTGCGATGCTCACTGCCGGTAGTTCATTTATTTATCGTTTACCTATTTATGTGTTATGATGAATAATTTCAGTTGCAATCACTTACTGAATAGTTGCTCTAAATTCATGTGATCTTACTCAACAATTTGGCTATACTTTTCTCTAAACTCGTTAAAAAACCAACCGGTCAAGGAGAGTTTATGTAACAACGAATGAACATTTGTGAAGGTAAAAGGATTTAGTGGATCGAACTATTATCAAGAATGTGTTTGTTTAGGTGAAGTGCATCTGCAAAAATGTTTAACAGATCTCTGGGATATGGGTCAAACAAATATCAAAGTATCAGAACCAATTGTGTCTTTTCAAGAGACTGTTGTTCCGCCACAGCCTGGTGCCGCGAGTGGCACGTATGAAACTGTAAATTTTTACTGGATTCAATCAAAACGTGATCAGTGCGTTGAAATGGTAAAGTCGAATTGTTCATCGTTCAGGAATGCAGTATACGTGGTGGACTTGCCAAAATCAAGTTGCGTGCGGTACCGCTGCCGAGCCAACTGGTTACGTTACTCAAGAACAATGAATGCGCACTTAGTAGTCTTCGAGAGGGTATATTTGAGAATGCGGAAGTTTGTGAAATGAAGCGAATACTTTGCGAAGATGGTGTGAAGTGGTTGAAACAGTTGAAAGGCACTTGGTGGAGTCGGCGCACTGATCGACAATTAAGGTAGTGATTTGAGTGATTATTGGTATCGGAGGATTGCAGATGCATATGTGCATTTTAAATGGAGTTGTATTCGATTTGTTTGTAAGGTGGAGGGTTTTTCGATTTTGAGTTAGCTCATTACGACGGTATTGCGGAACAATAGACACTGCAGCAAAACGGGCCCATTTTCATCTTAGGGCAGAATTTTTGAAGCCGAACTTATTGCAGCAGCAATTTAAGTTGATGTTATGAATTCTGAAATGAGACTTATCAGTTAGTTATAAATTGTTATGCATTTATGATGCTGGAATTAGTTAATCATTTATTGTTCCTTTTCAATCTACTTGAAGGCAGCTAGTGGATAAGATTTGGGCATTTGGACCGCCTCGGGCAAGATTCAATATTCTTTTCAATGCCATTGACGATTATGATAGACCACCCATTTGGGAAAGTTCGTTTATTATTAATTAGTCGATAATTATTCGTTTTTCTAAAAAGTTGCTCCCAACTGATTAGTTACATAATGAAATTTGATGAAAAATACTGAATTTGTTGCAAAAATATTAGCCTACAACTTACACAACATTGTGGTTTTATTGTAATTAAAAATTTACATTGGTTTAAACATATGGAACAAAATGTCATGATGGTAATGAATAAAATGTTTGTTGACGGAAAATAAAACGGTAAAAATATTTTGGAGAGAGTACATCAAGACTACGTGCATTCGATCAATCGTTAGTGGCTGGTTTTGATTTGGTGATGAGTTGTGGACCGTTATGTGAAGAACCAATGGTTGGTGCGGGCATAGTTGTTGAAGAATGGACAGTTGATGATGTTGACAGTGATCCAACAATGGCTGGTGCATTGATATCGGCTATGAAACAAACTTGCAAGTTTGTTTCAGTATCCTTCATTCTTCTCTTTAATGTTTCATTTCAGTTTTAATTATCACATGATTCTAATGCTAAAATCATGAAAGATCTCGATCTGCTGCTTTTTCGGCAGCGTATCGGATTTTACTTGATCTCCTCAAGAAGTACTCCTAATATGCAAGCAAAGAAAAATATCTCCTTAAAAAAAATTATTCCAGGGCTGCTTTGAACAAGCATTCATTGCGTTTGGTAGCTGCAATGTACAAATGTACCGTGCAAACAACCGGACAAGCGTTGGGTAAAGTACATGCGGTATTATCGCAACGGCATGCCAAAGTAAACAGTCAATATCCCTCCTCATAATGTTTATCGCAGTGCGCTTATGAGTTCGCTTCTTTTAGCTGTAATATTTTAAGTCGATTCATTAATCTCATGTCAGTATCTGACGAGT